GCTTAGTGGTTGTGGACTGGTTTTCATCAAGACCTTCCTCAAGTGTTCCTTCTCCTCTGACTGTCCTCTGTGTCTTGGTGTTGTTGGTGCATATTCTACTGTACATTCGTTTTTAATTGAAGGTGTTGTCATTTAGTTGAGCTGTTTTCTGCATGTTAAATGTCCAGCATGACTATGCATCGATCTGTAGACATCACAGTGCACTACTACCTTTGCACAGAATAGGTCATAGTGGGTTTGGATGCAATACTTTGACTTCTTGCTTGTTCGGACTTCTCGCTTTCTAAGATTTTAAACACTATCACATATTTTAAACTTTTAGAGTTTAAATGCTTTTATTTTGATGATTACTTTAATACAGACTGCAAAAACAGGGGGGGGGGGGATTGGGGCTGGTTATTACAATTTTTTTAAAGAGAAATTGGGAGAAGAACAGAAACACAGACTGGAATAGATAGATAAGGGTTTTCAACCAGACCAAGTTTTTATTTTCAGAGTTAAACCCGTCCTCTTTTCCTTGCATTTTACTGATGTAATAAAATTGTGTAACATTTGACTTGAACAAGTCTGTCTGTTTGATTACATGTCCTCTATTTGCCTTTTGATCCTTGATGTTTGTTTTTAGTCTCTTTTCTTCTCTCACTCTATTTTTCACCATCTTTCTCTCCATTTCTCTCACCCACACACTCTCTAGTTGTATTCTACGTTTACCCGACTACTAACTGCTGCAGCCACTGAGGTATACAACTGCTCTTGCCATGGCATGTACACACACACACACACACGCACGCACGCACACACAGCACGCGCACGCACGCATGCACACACACACACACACACACACACACACGCACACACACAGTCCCCCCTCCCTGCCTGTGTTTTTGTATCTTGCTGTGTGTGGATAATGTGATGTAATTGTTTGTGAAATGAGCAATAATGGAGATGAGAGATAGCCCACCTGTGACCATCTAAATCCTCAAAACAGTTATTCGGAGATTAAGTCACACTATCCCTTTAATCCTGGTCCTTGTAACCCCATCCTCCTCACTCCTCACCCCTCCCCTCCGCACTTCTATGGCTGGTGCAGCACAAAACTAAAAACATATTTTTCAAAATTAGAAGTCCCCCTGTCACCCTTACTTGTCTGCGCCCCGCTCTCCTTCACACTCTAATCGTTCTGTGTCAAGCCATTATCCCTAACTGCAACACTCAGGAGGCCTGTTATTTGGGGTCTCAGTGTGTCATCTTGTTTACTCCGTGTCTTCTCTATGATCTCTGGTCATTATAAATACCCTCCCTTACCCTCCACTGGGCCAGATCAGGGGAGGCTGCTGTCAGACCCCATGCTGGGAGATAGAGACTGGTTGCCTTCCGAAACAGCTCAAGCTTGTCTTCACCTGACGGAGAACCGCTGAGGCTGATCTGTGCTACATAAAACATCTTGGATCATCTTAACAGGGAGGAAGTCCATTACCTTTCCCACACCAGGCTGGATGTACAGACAGGGAGGATTTCTGATCACAATCTTTACACTCTTGTGACTCATCTGTACGTTTTAATCAATACAACTGTGCTGTAGCTTTTCATGTTTTTATCCGTATTTAGGAACTGCATTGGGAGAGGTTTTGGTCTGGTCTGGTCAACTGTCTGTGTGTGTGTCCAGAGGAGCTCACCCATGTTCCCCTGGTTCACCTGGCTGACAGCAGCCGTTCCTCTGCTACTGCCCTGGCTGGTCAGGGATAGGGTAGGGATGGTTCAGGCAACTGTGTGTTCACGGTGGGACCGTTCGGTTGGTCTGGATGACCGTGGTCTCTCTCAGGAAGGTGACGTGGTGATCGGGGGTCTCATCCCCTTCCATAACCTCCCCCCTGCTTCAGACCTGAGCTTCAGCCAACCCCCTGACCTGCAGTCCTGTGTCAAGTAAGTTCCTTTGTTTATTTCTGTTCTCTAACTTCTTTATCGCACTTTGCCTTTTCTTGCATCTTCCTTTTCAAAGTTGAAGTGAGATTTTATCTTTGTTTATTCTTTTGATATAAGTAACTTTTATTTTATTTTGTAACAGCATTTCATTTTAGCAGGGCACTTTTCTTTATTTATTTCAAAAGTCTTATTTTTATTTCATGTAAGATTTGATCTAAATGTTGTTGTCTCTTCGGAAGATCTGTGAGGTACTGGAATGGAAAATGGAACATTTGTCTTTTGCTTTTTACACAGAATCATAGTCACTTCAAAATGAAATGTTAATCGCTTTGCAGACTATTTCAAATCTGATGTTAACAAATTGTCTGCAAAACAATGAACATTTAATTTCAATCTTTGCTTTTGTCTAACTTCTCTCCTCTATTCTAATGTGTGTCATCTTAGAGAGAGAGACTGACTTCTCTCCTCTATTCTAATGTGTGTCATCTCAGAGAGAGACTGAGTTCTCTCCTCAATTCTAATGTGTGTCATCTCAGAGAGAGAGAGAGACTGACTTCTCTCCTCAATTCTAATGTGTGTCATCTCAGAGAGAGAGACTGACTTCTCTCCTCAATTCTAATGTGTGTCATCTCAGAGAGAGAGACTGACTTCTCTCCTCAATTCTAATGTGTGTCATCTCAGAGAGAGAGAGACTGACTTCTCTCCTCAATTCTAATGTGTGTCATCTCAGAGAGAGAGACTGACTTCTCTCCTCAATTCTAATGTGCGTCATCTCAGAGAGAGAGACTGACTTCTCTCCTCAATTCGAGTGTGTGTCATCTCAGAGAGAGAGACTGACTTCTCTCCTCAATTCTAATGTGTGTCATCTCAGAGAGAGAGACTGACTTCTCTCCTCAATTCTAATGTGTGTCATCTCAGAGAGAGAGAGACTGACTTCTCTCCTCAATTCTGATGTGTGTCATCTCAGAGAGAGACTGACTTCTCTCCTCAATTCTAATGTGTGTCATCTCAGAGAGAGAGACTGACTTCTCTCCTCAATTCTAATGTGCGTCATCTCAGAGAGAGAGACTGACTTCTCTCCTCAATTCGAGTGTGATGTCATCTCAGAGAGAGAGACTGACTTCTCTCCTCAATTCTAATGTCATCTCAGAGAGAAGAGAGAGACTGACCTGCCTCTCCTCAATTCTATGTGTGTATCTCAGAGAGCAGACTGACTTTCCTCAAATTTAATGTGTCAATCGGAGAGAACGACTTTTCTCAATTCTAATGTCATCTCAAGAGGAGTGACTTTCTCCTCAATTCTAATGTCATCTCAGAGAGAAGACTGACTTCTCTCCTCAATTCTATGTCATTCAGAGAGAGTACTGACTTTCCTCATTCTAATGTCATTTCAGAGAGAACTGACTTCATCCTCATTCTAATGTTCACTCAGAGAAGTGACTGACCTCTCTCCTCATTCTAATGTCTCTAGACAGACTACTTCTCTCCTAATTCTAATGTCATCTCAGAAAGAGACTGACCTCTCTCTCAATTCTAATTCATCTCAGACAGACTGACTCTCTCCTCAATTCTTAATGTCATCTCAGAGAGAGAGACTGACCTCTCTCCTCAATTCTAATGTCATCTCAGAGAGAGAGACTGACTTCTCTCCTCAATTCTAATGTCATCTCAGAGAGAGAGACTGACTTCTCTCCTCAATTCTAATGTCATCTCAGAGAGAGAGACTGACTTCTCTCCTCAATTCTAATGTCATCTCAGAGAGAGAGACTGACTTCTCTCCTCAATTCTAATGTCATCTCAGAGAGAGAGACTGACTTCTCTCCTCAATTCTAATGTCATCTCAGAGAGAGAGACTGCATTTTCCTGTTGTGTAGCACAATGAGGCACGGCATATTTATTGTAAATGTAAACATTTAAATAATCTTGCTGTCATAGATTGTGGTATTTTCTCATCTGTAACTTGATTCTAATTCTAGACGGATAAGATTGATGTTCAGTATGAAATCATTGTTTTAGAGATGTTTGTTATGTTGTTTTCTCCTCACAATCAATTACATTCATCTGATTACAGGGTTACATCATGAATGTTGCTCTCTCTCTCTCTCTCTTTCTCTGTCTCTATCTATCTATCTATATATCTATCTATCTATCTCTCTCTCTCTCTTTCTCTGTCTCTATCTATCTATCTGTCTGTCTGTCTGTCTGTCTGTCTGTCTGTCTGTCTGTCTGTCTGTCTGTCTGTCTGTCTGTCTGTCTGTCTGTCTGTCTGTCTGTCTGTCTCTGTCTCTCTCTCTCTCTCTGTCTCTGTCTCTGTCTCTCTCTCTCTATCTCTATCTCTATCTCTATCTCTCTTTCTCTCTCTCTTTCTCTCTCTCCTGTCTCATGTTTTCCTCCTCATCTCACATCCCTGCTCTCAGTCTCCAAGAGGAACCATTGAGATGGGCACATGCGCTGGTGTTTGCAGTGGACGAGATTAACCGTAACCCCTTCCTGCTGCCGGGGGTCCGGTTGGGCTACCGTATCCTGGACAGCTGTAATCAGCACCCCTGGAGCCTGCGAGGGGCACTGGCCATGGTGTCAGGGGGGAACATCAGCTGTGAAACTACAGAGCTTTCTAACCTCAAATGTGATTTTAACCACAACCTAATCTAAACCTTTACCTAAAATGAAAATGTCTTGGAAGTTTATTTGACAAATAGCCACTAATATTGAGGAGATCCTACACTAAATGAATAGCAAATAGCTCATGTACTTGCTATCATGTAGTTTTGATTATACAACCATGTTATGTGTATTCTGTCCTGTCCAGCATGGCCATCTAGTGTCTCCCCTGTTCCTCTGGTCATTGGTGATGCATCGTCCACTCAGGCCATCATCCTGGCCAGGACCCTGGGGCCGCTGTCTGTGCCTGTGGTTAGTCTCTCTCCACACAACCAGGAAATGCAGTGGCTAGAAACATTGCTGTAATACTTTAATTCATCATATTTACTGAGACATTATATTAGGGTATTTAGTACTTCATAAAAAAAAGTATTGACGTCATTGGGTCCTCAGTCTCTCTCTCAATAACCAGGTAATACACTGAATGTACAAAACGTTAGAAACACCTGCTCTTCAATGACATACAGTGAGGGAAAAAAGTATTTGATCCCCTGCTGATTTTGTATGTTTGCCCACTGACAAAGAAATGGCAATCACAGAGGTCAGGCGTTTCTTGTAGTTGGCCACCAGGTTTGCACACATCTCAGGAGGGATTTTGTCCCACTCCTCTTTGCAGAACTTCTCCAAGTCATTAAGGTTTAGAGGCTGATGTTTGGCAACTCGAACCTTCAGCTCCCTCCACAGATTTTCTATGGGATTAAGGTCTGGAGACTGGTTAGGCCACTCCAGGACCTTAATGTGCTTCTTCTTGAGCCACTCCTTTGTTACCTTGGCCGTGTGTTTTGGGTCATTGTCATGCTGGAATACCCATCCACAACCCATTTTCAATGCCCTGGCTGAGGGAAGGAGGTTCTCACCCAAGATTTGACGGTACATGGCCCCGTCCATCGTCCCTTTGATGCAGTGAAGTTGTCATGTCCCCTTAGCAGAAAAACAACCCCAAGGCATAATGTTTCCACCTCCATGTTTGACGGTGGGGATGGTGTTCTTGGGGTCATAGGTAGCATTCCTCCTCCTCCAAACACGGCGAGTTGAGTTGATGCCAAAGAGCTCCATTTTGGTCTCATCTGACCACAACACTTTCACCCAGTTCTCCTCTGAATCATTCAGATGTTCATTGGCAAACTTCAGACGGGCATGTATATGTGCTTTCTTGAGCAGGGGGACCTTGCGAGCACTGCAGGATTTCAGTCCTTCACGGCGTAGTGTGTTACCAATTGTTTTCTTGGTGACTATGGTCCCAGCTGCCTTGAGATCATTGACAAGATCCTCCCATGTAGTTCTGGGCTGATTCCTCACCGTTCTCATGATCATTGCAAATCCACGAGGTGAGATCTTGCATGGAGCCCCAGGCCGAGGGAGATTGACAGTTATTTTGTGTTTCTTCCATTTGCGAATAATCGCACCAACTGTTGTCACCTTCTCACTAAGCTGCTTGGCGATGGTCTTGTAGCCCATTCCAGCCTTGTGTAGGTCTACAATCTTGTCCCTGACATCCTTGGAGAGCTCTTTGGTCTTGGCCATGGTGGAGAGTTTGGAATCTGATTGATTGATTGCTTCTGTGGACAGGTGTCTTTTATACAGGTAACAAGCTGAGATTAGGAGCACTCCCTTTAAGAGTGTGCTCCTAATCTCAGCTTGTTACCTGTATAAAAGACACCTGGGAGCCAGAAATCTTTCTGATTGAGAGGGGGTCAAATACTTATTTCCCTCATTAAAATGCAAATCAATTTATAGCATTTTTGACATGCGTTTTTCTGGATTTTTTTGTTGTTATTCTGTCTCTCACTGTTCAAATAAACCTACCATTAATATTATAGACTGATCATGTCTTTGTCAGTGGGCAAACTTACAAAATCAGCAGGGGATCAAATACTTTTTTCCCTCACTGTAGACTGACCAGGTGAATCCAAGTGAAAGCTAAGATCCCTTCTTGATGTCACTTGTTAAATCCACTTCAATCAGTGTAGATGAAGGGGAGGAGACAGGTTAAATAATTCTTTTGAAGCCTTGAGACAATTGAGACATGGATTGTGTATGTGTGCCATTCAGAGGGTGAATGGTCAAGACAAAATATTTAAGTGCCTTTGAACGAGATATGGTAGTAGGTGCCAGGCGCACCGGTTTGTGTCAAGAACTGCAACGCTGCTGGGTTTTTCACACTCAACAGTTTCCCGTGTGTATCAAGAATGATCCACCACCCAAAGGACATCCAGCCAACTTGACACAACTGTGGGAAGCATTGGAATCAACCTGGGCCAGCATCCCTGTGGAACGCTTTCGACACCTTATAGAGTCCATGCCCTGACGAATTGAGGCTGTTTTGAGGGCAATAGGGGGTGCAACTCAAGGTGTTCCTAATGTTTTGTACATTCAGCTAGAAAGATTGCCATAATGCTTTAATTAATTATAATTCATCTGGTCTGGTATTTAGTGAGAAATGATTGATTTAATGGTGTTGTCCTCAGATCAGTTACCAGGCCAGCTGTGCCTGTCTCAGTGACAGACAGGAGTTCCCTAACTTCTTCAGGACCATCCCCAGTGATGTCTACCAGGCCCTCACCATGGCCCGGCTCACCTGGCTCTTCGGATGGACCTGGGTCGGGGCTATCGCTGCAGACAATGACTACGGTCGTCTTGCCATACAGGTGTTTCTTTATTTCAATTTTGGATATTTTGACTTTATAAATTCTTGCTCAGTTTACAGAAAAATAAATGCAGAATTGAATTTACATAATAAAATAATTGCATCAAACTGAATTTTGTTTATTTATATTATTTCTAATACTGGATACTTTTTTTTTTACTTCTACATCAGACGAACTCCTGAACTCCTGAGTGGCGCAGTGGTCTAAGGCACTGCATCGCAGTGCTAACTGTGCCACTAGAGATCCTGGTTCGAATCCAGGCTCTGTCGTAGCCGGCCGCGACCGGGAGACCCATGGGGCGGCGCACAATTGGCCCAGCGTCGTCCAGGGTAGGGGAGGGAATGGCCGGCAGGGATGTAGCTCAGTTGATAGAGCATGGCGTTTGCAACGCCAGGGTTGTGGGTTCGATTCCCACGGGGGGCCAGTATAAAAAAAATATGTATTCACTAACTGTAAGTCGCTCTGGATAAGAGCGTCTGCTAAATGACTAAAATGTAAATGTAATATTTTGACCATGTGCTTCATATTTGATCCCCAGGTGTTTGAGGAGGCGGTTCGGGGGACGGGGGTGTGCCTGGCGTTCTTTGAGACCCTCAACCGGGCGAACCTGGTGAGGGATGTGGAGCGAGCAGTTGACACGGTCCAGGCCTCGACAGCACGAGTGATCCTGGTCTTCCTCTGGTACACTGACATGGGGGCGTTACTCCTGGAGCTGGGGAGGAGAAACGTGACGGACAGGCAGTTCCTAGCCAGTGAGGCATGGAGCACCAGCGGACAACTCCTACGAAACCCCGCCCTATTTAACGTTGCTCAGGGCATTGTCGGTGTGGCTATCCGCAGTGCACCTATTCCTGGCTTTGAGGCCCACCTTCGAAGTCTCCACCCCTCTCGTCGTCCCGGAGATGTCCTATTGAAGGAACTCTGGGAAACTGAGTTTGGGTGTAGCCCTGGAGCAGCAGATGCACACGGCACGTCTCTGCTCCCCTCTCCCCTTCCTCCAACCCCCTCTGTGTCAATATCACACATCCCTCCTCCCACCTCCAGTTCCCCCCGTCCACGCCTGGCCTCCTGCAGTGGGGCAGAGACTATGGAGGGTGTGCAAAGCCCCTTCACAGACACCTCCCAGCTGAGAATAACCTATAACGTGTACCTGGCTGTGTATGCTGCAGCCCACGCCCTCCACAGCCTGCTGTCCTGCCCCCAGAGAGACAGCCCTACCTGGGGCAGCAGCGTCACCTGCTCCCCTCCTCACAACATCAGCCCAGCGGAGGTACACTCATCTTTTGCGCCTATTAATTAGAGATGATTTGCAAACACTTAAATCAGTCAGGGGGGAAATTGCTCATGTCAATATAACCTTTTTTGTTATTCAATATCATTAAATATTCATGTCCACTTAATAGTTGCTATGGGGATATGTTTTCAGTTATTATATCATATTAACAGTGTAATGGTCATGGTCATGTTTGTGTCTCCTTTCCTCCAAGTTGTTGCAGCACCTGAACCTGGTTAACTTCACCACTCCACTTGGGGAGCCGTTCTACTTCCGGGGCGCGGACGTCCCTGCTATGTACGACCTTGTGAACTGGCAGGCCACACCCCAGGGGTTGCTCAAACTTGTCACGATTGGCCGAGTAGATGGGTCCAATCTCCTCATCAACCAATCAGCCATCCAGTGGAACACAGGATCTAATATGGTAAGAAAGACAATTTTAAAACATGAACTGAATGGTTTTTTGTTCAATTGAAATTCATTTCATCGCATGTACAGGTGCCTGTGTCAGTGTGCAGTGACAGCTGTCCCCCAGGCACCCGTGTAGCCAGGAGGAAGGGGGAGCCTGTCTGCTGCTTCGACTGCATCCCCTGTGCTGAGGGGGAGGTCAGCAACACCACAGGTCAGTGAACTGTGATGTGGGAGAATAATATCATTTAAAATATCATTGGTCTCGTGCCTTCTCACATCGCTGAGGTTTGTGGTAATTCCCACAGTCTGTTGTGTGTTAATGCTTACTTAAGACTTATTAGACTGAATAAGTAATTATGCTTTTCAAACATTATAGTAATGAGTTCAATCTCCCAGGCTCTCTGATATGTGACCGCTGTCCTCTGGAGTTCTGGTCCAACAGCCATCGGACTGCCTGCATCCCTCGTCAGCTCGAGTTCCTCTCCTTCAACGATATCATGGGCATCACCCTGACCACTGTTGCCGTGTGTGGCGCTGTGGCAACAACGGCTGTGTTTCTGTTCTTTGTTTACCACCGCCACACCCCTCTGGTAAGAGCTTTAATAAAGTGTTAAATCGGGTATGGGATAAAATGGAAAATTCTTCTATTGTACCATGTATGTGTAACCCTTTCAGGTGCGGGCCAACAACTCAGAGCTGAGTTTCCTACTTCTCATGTCGCTCAAGCTCTGCTTCCTGTGTTCGTTGGTGTTCATTGGGCGTCCCTCTGTGTGGGCGTGTCGGATCCGCCAGGCGGCGTTTGGGGTCATCTTCGTGCTCTGCCTCTCCTGCCTCCTGGTCAAGACCATCGTTGTTCTGGCTGTGTTCCGCTCAGCCAGGCCCGGTGCTGGGCAGCTGATGAGGTGGTTTGGACCCAGTCAGCAGAGAGGGAGTGTCTTCCTCTTTACCAGTGTTCAGGTGAGAGCTTTAACATTGAAATAACTTCAAGTCACGTAACTAAATTAATCAGTCATTTATAAGATGAGTAAATTGTGTTTGTAATTGTGTTTGTAAACACAGGTGATCATCTGTGCCGTGTGGCTGTCCGTGAGCCCTCCCCTGCCTTACCGTGACCTAGGCCTCAAGGGGTCAAAGGTCATCCTGGAGTGTGAGGTGGGCTCTGTGGTCGGCTTCTCTCTGGTGCTGGGCTACATCGGCCTGCTGGCCTCTATCTGTCTCCTCTTAGCCTTCCTGGCCAGGAAACTCCCAGACAACTTCAACGAGGCCAAGTTCATCACCTTCAGCATGCTGATCTTCTGTGCCGTGTGGATCTCCTTCGTCCCAGCCTACGTCAGCTCTCCTGGGAAGTACGCAGATGCTGTGGAGATATTCGCCATCTTAGCTTCCAGCTTTGGGCTGCTGTTCTGTCTGTTTGCTCCAAAATGTTTCATCATCCTCCTAAGACCAGAGAGAAACACCAAGAAACACATGATGGCCAAATAGAAACCACCAAGAAACACATGATGTCCTAATATATTATTCATTGTGTTTAGTTGATCACACCATCTCACTAACTTGTTGTATGGTAAAAATAATGACATGATACATTGTATAATACTTATAAGCAAGTTACATACTTTACAGACAATACCAAAACAAGTTGATGGACACAAATTAACAGCACTTTCCTACCATGCTAGTAGTGTCTGTTTCTAATGATTCAACAGTGAGTCAACAGTGATTCAACAGTGAGTCAACAGTGAATCAACAGTGAGTCACCACTTAGTACGTCTTCATCTGAATCACTACGTGACTTTTCTTTACCATCATCAATAGACTTTAATGACATCCATTTCTCCCCTGAAAATCAGTTATGAAAACACATACGCCAATCAATTAAATTAGATATGCTTAATGAAAAATGTTGTTCATTCCTTTCACATTTTATGAGGTGTGTAATTCTCTTTTCCCATATGACACAGTTTCTGGATATTTTAATAAAATACATTTGTCAATTTCAACAGTTCAATAAAAACACATTCAAGCAGCTCCTTTCAAGTCAGAATGTTTTATTAATTGAAAAATTGCATTAATGAATCATTTATTCATGGGTGAATGAGTGTGGGAGCAGAATCCTTTAGAAGGAACAGGGATGTTATGCTGTTTTATGACACACGTTGTGATGATTCAATCAAAAGCCTTTATATAAAGAAAACCACTCATCAGAGATAACCTATCCCCTAGAAGATTAAAGCCACAAACATAGACAGATGAAATCAATCAAAAGCCCAAAGAGATAAATCATGTATTATCTGATTCATATTTAATTACAGAACATCATAATTATAATCGATAGCAGGCTACTACACATCACTAGGGTACTAACAAAACCATAACATATTTTTGTTGCCATGGCAACTAAAATGAGCTATTTGAGACCATCATCCTCTGTTACTATACTTTCTCCTTTCCTTTATCTTGTCTCCTTTCCTTTATCTTGTCTCCTTTCCTTTATCTTGTCTCCTTTCCTTTATCTTATCTCCTTTCCTTTATTTGTATTGAAAGAGTGACAAGCAGATCCCTAGCAGGCATAGTACTTCCACCTAGTGTTCATATTTCAGATCAGTGCAGAGGATATAAAGGAGTCAAGGAGAGGAATCCGCTGTAGACTATTGGTATGGTATTGAACCTATGGGAGAAACTCCATTTAATTTCAGTGATTCCTCGCGTCCTCTCTCCTCGGTCTCCTTCTCAAAACCCATTCAATGAGAAGGTTAGTTATCCAACCTCCTCTGACCTTCTCAGGTTTTGAGAAGAAGGCAAGGAAAGAGGACGCAAGGAATCAAGGAAATGAAATGAAGATTCTCCCTATGTCTTGGTTGTGGCCCGGCCCATTAGAGACTTCTTGGTGTTCCTCTCAGGCCTCAGCAGGATGATGTAACACTTTGGGCCGAACAGTGCTACCAGGAGGCCAAAGCTGGAAGCTAAGATGGCGAATATCTCCACAGCGTCTGCGTACTTCCCAGGAGAGCTGACGTAGGCTGGGACGAAGGAGATCCACACGGCACAGAAGATCAGCATGCTGAAGGTGATGAACTTGGCCTCGTTGAAGTTGTCTGGAAGATTCCTGGCCAGAAAAGCCAAGAGGAAGCTGAGGATCGCCAGTAGGCCGATGTAGCCTAGCAACGCTCCGAACCCTGCAACCGACCCCACCACACACTCATATACAATCTTATCTTTTTGGTAGCGCGTGTTTTTGTGTGGAGTTGGAGAGGCTGAGACCAGCCAGGCTGTGCAGATAGCGGCCTGGAATGAGGTGAGAACCAGAACTGTTCCTCTCTGCTGCCCAGCACCAAACCACTTCAGGCTGGCCTCGCCCCCGGGCTTAGAGGTCCTGAACACAGCCAGCACCACCATGGTCTTCACCAGTATACAGGAGACACAGAGAACAAAGCTGATACCAAACGCTGCATGCCTCAGCTGGCACGTCCACAGCCGGGGCCGACCAATGAACAGCAGCGAGCACAGGAAGCAGAGTTTGAGTGACAGCAGAAGCAGGAAGCTTAGCTCAGAGTTATTGGCCTTGACAACAGGCGTGTTCCGGTAACGGGCGAAGATTCCAAGGACCACTGTACAGATGAGGGCTCCTAGCAATGAGGCGGTTGTCAAGGAGATGCCCAGGGGTTCCTGGTAGGAGAGGAACTCAACCCCTTTAGGGATGCAGAGGTCACGCCCCGGGCTGGACCAGAAGTCCTCTGGACACCTCGAGCACTCGGCCGAGTCTGACAGAAAGACAGACAATGAAAATGTGGAAAACCTTTTCTACAGCCCCAGGCTACCCTCCAATTGTTTAAATTATATTCAGTTCACTGACCTGTGGTGTTGCTGACCTCCCCCTCAGCACAGGGGATGCAGTCGAAGCAGCAGACAGGCTCCCCCTTCCTCCTGGCTACACGGGTGCCTGGGGGACAGCTCTCACTGCACACTGATCGAGGGGGCTATAAGGACGAAGGTGAGGGGGAATTATAATTTCAGACTTTTATACACCCATATTTATACACCCATATTTATACACCCATATTTTGACACCCATATCTAATGCTTCTTTGCCCTCCACTGGTATAAGTTTACACTGTTGCTGTTGCAGTAGTGAAATATGCTATATAACTACATAACTTTACAAATAACCTTTTTTGACTCAAAGTTCCAGAAAATTCTGTCCTCGTCCAGTGTGAGCTCTTGTCCTGCGGGTGCTGATTCGTCGACCACACCCACATTCTCCACCTGCACGCTCCCGTCCTGGAGCCACACCCAGTTCATGATGTCATAGATGGCCAGGGCGTCCCCGTTGTCATCGAAAGAAATGCGATCGCCAAACCCTGTGGTGAAATTAACCCTCTCCAGGTAATGGACCAGCTGGCCAGAGGAGGGGGATGGAGGAATGGAGGGAAGAGAAGGAGAGGATGTTGAGAAATACAGTATGTAGTCAGGGGACCTTGACTAAGAAAACAGTAAACAGAAGACAAAGTGTAGGTCTGCACGTGTGCATGTATCCCACCTGCCAGGGCTCCAGTCTCTGTAGGCTGGCACAGCGGTGCCCACTGAAAGGTCCTCTCCCTGGCACACACTGCAGTAGGTCATGCAGGGCATGGGCCAGGGCGTACACTGCCTTATACACGTTATACTCCGGCCTGAGCTCAGACACGTCCCCATAGTTGGTCTCCACATCCCTCAGGTCCTCCTGTCCTGTACACACACTACCCCCAGCCTCCACCCACCCTGCCGGGGGCTCCAACCTGCACTCAAACACAGCCTCCCAGAACTGTCTCACCTTACCAGAACAGAGAAGGAAATGTTATTACATGTTAGTCATTTAGCAGACGCTCTTATCCAGAGCGACTTACAGTTAGTGAGTGCATACATGTTATTTTTTTTTTTTGGGGGGGGGGGGGTTTCATACTGGCCCCCCGTGGGAATCGAACCCACAACCCTGGCGTTGCAAGCGCCATGCTCTACCAACTGAGCTTCCTCTCCAGTAGAGGAATAACAAATAATAACCTGTATTGTGGTATTTATAAGCAGTAGCCTTTAAAATATTTTAAACATAATGTATAAAGTGTTTAAATAAACGGTTGGAGTTAAAAGACTAAAAAACTACCTCACCATGCTGTTTCCATGGTTACTGGCAGGTTGGTCGTCGGGGTGGATGCTAAGCAGGTAGTCCCTGAGGCCGGGTATCTCTCCACGACGGATAGCGATACCCAGGGTACCCCCCAGGTAGGGCATGAGACGGGGGGTGTTTAACACTGAGGAGGTGGTCCAGGCTTCACTGGCGATCCACTGGAGACCCATCACATTCTGCACGACCACCTTGTAAAATGGGTTTTATATTTTATATAATGTTGGCATCAAGCACGCCACAATGGTAACATGTTACAACACTTTCATGCACTGTTATTTGTTAGCCTGTGCGAGAGGGGAAACATCCTACATCTGTTATGGCTGTAATTATGGCTGTAATTATGGCTGTAATTATGGCTGTAATTATGGCTGTAATTATGGCTGTAAAATGTATTTGCTGATAGCTACTTTATTGAGGAAAAATGTACTTACTATGACTGTGACATGTCATTGTCCCCCCTAGCTGTCTTAAGATGGATGCACTAATTGCCCAGGGCCAACCATACGTAAAATATATGCACACATCACTGACTGTAAGTCGCTTCGGATAAAATCATCTGCTAAATGGCATATATTATTATTATTATTATTATTATTAACTGTAAATTGTTCTGGATTAGAGCGTCTGAAACTAAAATGTGAAGGTATTGTATGTGTCCTTTTAGATCTTCAACTAAAGTCAATGTAAAGCATCTCTGAACCTCGTCCACTAGAGGGAGCAGGTAGGCCTCGTTGGAAAACACCACCACCACGCGAGCAGAGGAGCGCTTGATCTCTCCCACGATCCTCTGCAGCTCTGTGGGGCGGTTGTCCCTGGGCAGCACCTGGGAATATGCCACACAGCCCCCTGTCTGGGCCAGGTCTGAGTGGAAGGACCGGGCAGCGTGAACTCCATAGTCATCATCACTGAACACCAGGCCCACCCAGGTCCAGCCCAACCGACGTAGGATCTGGATCATGGCTCGCACCTGGGATCACATCAACAGGGATTAGACATTACTGATGTTACTACAGATACTGGAGAGTATAGAGAGATCAACATAAATTACATGCATTATTTTTATTTAACCTTTTATTTAACCTTTTATTTAACCTTTTATTTAACCTTTTATTTAACCATATTTAACTTTTTCTATATTTAACCTTTTATTTAACTGTAATGCCGTTACAGAGTATAGAGAATATAGCGAGTATACATGGGAGATGACGGTTCACTGTCTAATCAGGTCATTATAGCCTTATTCTTAGGGACGGACCTGAAAGGCATCGCTGGGGATGGTTCTGAAGAAGGATGGGTACTTGCTCCGGTCGCTCAGACAGGAACATGTGGCGTAGTGACTCACCTGAGGGAGTGAAATATACAATTATATATATTTTTTTATTCTTCAATGAATTAATGAAATAGAAAGGTTTTATACCTAGACACATTTAAGACCTAAACATGCTGTTTCTCTCTCTAAGTGTGGTTTTGGAATACAAGGACATTTCCAATAATGTTGTCATCTTTCTATTCTTTCTGATTTACCATGGGTACCCGGAACAGCCCTAGGACACTGGAGATGGCGATGGAGTGAGTGGACCCTGGGTCTCCCACAATCCCTAGCACCGGGGGTGACCCAGAACAAGTCTCATCCAATAGGAACTCTTCCTCTGTCCCACTGGCCAATGACATGGCAGCACGGAACGATACTCCCAGGGTCTGGCAGTTGTCGTAGAGCTGATATCCGAGGGTGATGTTGGGCAGAAGGTCAGGGTTTCTGTTGATCTCGTCTACAGCAAACGCCATAGTCTGGGCCTGCATGAAACCAAAACGGGCAAAACTGACAGAGAAAAGGAACATTCAATCAATCTGTAAATGTTTTAAATTGCTCCAGAGCTGCTGAACCCTGTGCACCTCTTAAGGGGTGTGTGTGAGAGAGTATTGTCTTAGGGGGTTGGGAGGAGAGCAATTACTTTAGTCAAGGATAGATAATAAAATAGGTTTATCTTAAAGGGAAATTTGGTTAGAAAACAGGAATCATGATTGAAAACAATGGAATACACACAATTAATTCACAGATATTTTGAGACCGCAATGTACAATATCACCAATGTAACAAGACCCCAGAAGCTCTCCAGGACCAGGGTTGGTTACCACTGATCAAATCATCACGGGGCTTCTTATAGTATGAATGTCTATCTGTCCTTTAAGTGCAGACACACATCCAGTCTAGTCCAGTCCAGTCTAGTCCAGTCCAGTCCAGCAGATGAATACTCACCCCTCACAGTGGAGCTGCTGTGGTTCTGATGTGAAGGATAGCTCAGGGAACACAGTGAAGTAGTGGACCTCAAACAGACCACCCAGAACCACGTCACCCTTCTGGTACATCCCATTCAGACTGAACTGCTCCCGCAGACGACAGGACGAGGAAGAGGACGAGGCAGAGGAGGAAGATGAGGAAGAGGAGTAGGTCAATGCTAGGCTCAGAGATGAGGAGTTCAGTATCATGTTTATAGATAGGTACAGGTCAATATATTGCCAGACCCTCATAGCTGTCCTCTGTCTCTCCCCCTCTGTCGCTTCCTTACTCTCTCTCCCTCTCTTTTATAGTGTCAACCTCTGTGGAGGTTTAGGACAACGTCATTGTTTGATCTTTCACAAGGGGAGGACCAAAGACATGTCATAAATCAGGGCAGGGGGAGGGGTGGCGAGGGGGAGGGGAGGCATGGGGGAGGAGACGGTGGGAGGGGGTCAGATTTGCAGGTAGGAGACGTGAGTGTCAGAGAAAGATGATTCGTGACTTGTTGCCACAAGAAAAGGGCAACCAGTGAAGAACAAACACCATTGTAAATACAACCCATTTTTATGTTTATTTATGTATATGACATTGCCTTTTGTACTTTAACTATTTGCACATCGTTATAACACTGTACATAGCCATAATATGACATTTAAAATGTCTCTATTCCTTTGAAACTTTTGTGAGTGTAATGTTTACTGTTCATTTTTGATAATTTCACTTTTGTTTATTATCGATTTCACTTGGTTTGGCAATGAAAACATGTTTCCCATGCCAATAAAGCCCTTTGAATTTAAATGAATTTAAAGAAATATTGCACACATCCAAGCCATTCCACCATGTGTCCTGTAGGTGTCTGTCACACTGATCTGTTTCTCTCTCTCTCTCTCTCTATCCTCCTATCTCTCTACTCTCCTCTCTGAGAGCCAGAAGAAGAGACACGAGGGCGAGGAGGCGCGAGAGAAGCGCGCTCGCGAGCGAAGAGAAGCGAGAAAAAGCGCCGCAGGTGAAAGCCCAGAGAGAAGAAGAGAACGAGCAGAGAGAGAAGAGAGAAGCGAGAGAGCTAGAGAGGGAGCGAGAGAGGAGCGAGAGAGAGAGAGAGAGACCCTCGAGACGAGAGCTAGAAGAGAGAGAGTCGAGCGATCGCGCGAGCGCGCAGCAGAGCGAGATAGTAGGGAGAGCGCTCGCGACCGTGCCAGTCGCGCTCAGACACAGCGAGAATACTCGCTCCCTCTCCTCTCCCTCTCCCTCTCCCTCTCCCTCTCCTCTCCCTCTCCCTCTCCTCTCCCTCCTTTCTCTCTTCATCCTACATCTCCACATACAGGGCATACACCTGGTCACAGAGCCTCACATATCTCAGCTGAGCTCCTCTGTGGACACACACACACACATGCATCTGTCTGTCTGCCCCGTCTTCCTGTCACCCTATCCCCTGACAACACACAGTCTGTCTGCCCCGTCTTCTTGTCACCCTATCCCCTGACAACACACAGTCTGTCTGCACCGTCTTCCTGTCACCCTATCCCCTGACAACACACAGTCTGTCTGCACCATCTTCCTGCGACAGGACCATCGTGGCGCTGGTCAAGACCATCGTGGTGCTGATCAAGGCCATCGTGGTGCTGGTCAAGACCATCGTGGTGCTGATCAAGGCCATCGTGGTGCTGGTCAAGACCATTGTGCTGCTGGTCAAGACCATTGTGCTGCTGCTGGCCTTCAGGACCACTGTACCAGGCTCCAGTGCCCTGATGAAGCTGTTTGGACCTTCTTAGAAGAGGACACTGATTCTCTGCACCACCGCCCCTCAGGTAGAGCTGTTGAACTCATCAAACTGTAGTCCTACTACATAACCTTTTGTAGACTGGCATGATGGCCTACCATATGATGCTTATTGTTCCACTACTTCCCCCAGGTGTGTCTCCACGGCTACCTCCATCCCGTTCAGGAACTCTTCGTACCAGGGTCTGACCGGCATGATGGTGCTGGAGTGTAAGGAGCCTTGGACCCCAGGGTTCTAACTGGTACTGGGCTATGTCAGCCTGATGGCCTCTCTCTGTCTCCTCTTAGCCTTCCTGGCCAGGAATCTTCCAGACAACTTCAACGAGGCCAAGTTCATCACCTTCAGCATGCTGATCTTCTGTGCCGTGTGGATCTCCTTCATCCCAGCCTACGTCAGCTCTCCTGGGAAGTTCACCGAAGCTGTGGAGATATTTGCCATCTTAGCCTCTAGTTTTGGACTGCTGCTGTGCATCCTTGTCCCTAAATTTTACATCATCTTACTGAGACCAGAGAGGAACACTAAGTAAGGGATTATGGAGAAACACCAGGCTGAGACCAGAGAGGAACCTAGTTGAGATTTAGCGTTACAACATAAGTAAAGTACAACTAAATGTAAAGTGTTACTCATAACCACTGTCAGCTACAGTCCCTACATTGCACTAGAATGCAACAACCATTTGGCTTCTTGTACAGTGTGTGTCCTCATTACTAAATAAACTGTTGTAGTAGCTGATGTTTGCATGAGACGACTGCCCATTCACTGTACACTGGGTTGAACTGTTTGCAAAGTGTGATGAGGGTTGGTTGTATGTGATCTGTAATTATTAAAATATAATGAATATCAAGAATAAGCTATCTAATAAATGTGGATTGGGAGGCCAAGCAAGCCATTGGCAAGACACAGATGTATCTGAACATGTGTATTGTAGTATACTGTTATAATACATCATATGATGAATTACAATAGCAATTGAACACATGCACTTCAATGTCAAATCAATTCATATAGGAATAAAGGTTTTTACAAACAACATGGAAGTGATTCCACTCTGTAGGCTACTGCTAACCACATCATTTAGCTGGTCAAATTAGGTTCAACACTAGATATAACCTCTAATCTGTCAAAACATTGGAATATCCAAAGTGACCCTGCGTCATGTTTCTAGTTACCAATGATTACCTGCCAAATTCTTGGTCATCACTGTCAGAGTAGTGCTACCTAAACGTATGTTATACCATATAACTGAATATGTTTTCCCCTCATGTATTTCTTAATAATGTATATGATTGGATGTCTTCCCCATAAGGTGTTTCTAGGTGTTCTTCTCTGGCCTGAACATAATAATAAAGCAGGTAATAATAAAAAGAACCAACCAAAGCTAGAGGCGATGATAGCCAATATCTCCACAGCTACGGTGAACTTCCCAGGAGAGCTGACATAAGCTGGGATAAAGGTGATCCAGACTGCACAGAAAATGAGCATGCTGAAGGTGATGAATTTGGCCTCATTGAAGTTATCAGGCAGCTTTCGAGCCAGAAAAGCCAGCACAAAGCACAAGAGAGCCAGGAGTCCTATATACCCCAACACATCCCAGAATGCCCCCACAGAGCCTAAGTCACACTCTAGAATGACCCTTTCTTTGTAGGTAGTGAGGCTTTTAATGGGGAGGGGACAGGACCAACCACAGAGTGCATATCAAAGCCTTGACAAACGTGAAGGACACTACAGTCAATCTCTTGCTGTGGAAGCCCAAACCATTTCATGACATTACTGCTTGGAAGTGTAGCCCTGAAGGCCATCAACACCACTATTGTTTTCCCCAGAACACAAGAGATGCAGAGGACGAAGGTGATCCCAAACGCTGTGTGGCGCAGCATACAGGACCACTCAGAGGGCCGGCCAATGAAAGTAAGAGAACACAGAAAACACAGAGTCAAGGAGAAGAGCAGCAGGAAGCTCAGCTCAGACGATGGCCGACGTTCGGTGGCGGTAGAAGACAGTTACCGTGGAGATGGCCAGACAGGCCCCGCCCACAGAGCAGGCTGTCAGGATGATTCTAAGGACCTTGTGGAAGGACAGGAACTCCACAGGCCTAAGACACTGTCACGGTTTCAGCCGATGCTGCTCCTCCTCCTTGTTCGGGCAGGCTTCGGCGGTCGTCGTCCCCGGAGTACTAGCTGCCACCGTTCGATGTTTCATGTTTGTTTGGTTTTGTCTGTTTGTACACCTGTCCCTTGTTAGTGTTTGATTTGGTTGCCTATTTAGTTTTCGTGTGTGGTGGCAGGTGTTATGTGGTATTGTTTATTGTCAAGCTGTTGCTCTTTTTGTATTACTCTCGTGTTTGTTGTTTTCCGAGAGTCCGCACTGTGTGCGCTATCTTCATTTTACGCACTGTGTGTGTTGTGCGTAATTTGTATTTTGCCTCCCGGTTGGGTTGGCTGTTCGCCTGTTTGGTGCTGCATTTTGTTAACTAAAGTCTGTTGACGAACGCCCGTGTTTCCTGCGCTTGATTTCCTCACCGCATCTACACTCAGCTACTGACAGAATACCACATCACATCATGGAGTCAGCAGGAGCACCCGCGCCGACAGAGGTCATGGAGGACCGTCTTCGTGGACAGGAGGACCGGATTAACCAGATCGGTCACGCCTTGGATCGGGTGATGAACACTCTCCACCGATGGGAAAGCAGCGGGGTACCCACGCCCCCACCTACCGGACCATCCCCATCAGTCAGTCCTCCTGTCCACATTCCGGAACCCAGTGGGATTCGGCTCTCGCTCCCGAGGGCGTACGACGGCTCCGCTGCCGGGTGTCAAGGGTTCCTGCTACAGGTGGAGCTCTACCTCGCCACCGTACACCCGGCGCCCTCGGGACACGAGAGCGTCTCCGCCCTCATCTCCTGTCTCACCGGCAAGGCGTTGGAGTGGGCCAACGCCGAATGGAGGAGAATGGACGCCGCTACCATCACCTATGCGGAGTTCTCCCGCCGCTTCCGGGCCGTGTTCGACCATCCACCAGAAGGGAAGGCGGCGGGGGAGCGTCTGTTCTTCCTCCGACAGGGGATGAGGAGCGCACAGGATTTTGCCCTGGAGTTCCGGACTCTAGCGGCAGATGCAGGGTGGAATGAGCGGGCCCTCATAGACCACGTCCGTTGTAGCCTCCGGGAGGACGTCCAAAGAGAGTTGGCGTGCAGGGATACCATGTTGACATTTGACCAACTAGTCGACATGGCCATTCGGTTGGACACCCTGCTCGCCACCCGTGGACGTCCCGGATGGGGGTCGCCCATTTCACCCTCCAGCACCTCTGAGCCGAGCCCTATGCAGCTCGGAGGTGCTGGCGCTAGAGAAAGGAGGAGTAGGAACCCGAGGGGGGCCGTCCCCTGCACCAACTGTGGCCGTGGAGGGCACACCGCGGCTAGGTGTTGGGGAAGGTCCCCCGGTGGAGGTGAAGGCAAGCCACGCATTGGGGAGTCCTCCCAGGTGAGTAGGCGCCCTACTTACCCAGAGCTTTCTGTCGTTCACATAACCTTGCCTGTTTGTTTTCCACAGGTAGCACCTCGTTCCCAGCATAAGGCGCTAGTCGATTCAGGCGCAGCTGGGAACTTTGTAGATCGCCAGTTCTGTGTAGAATTAGGGATTCCTCTCCTTCCCGTTGATAAGCCTTTCCCTGTACATGCCCTAGATAGCCATCCGTTAGGATCTGGGTTGATTAGGGAGGTCACAGCGCCCCTTAAGATGGAGGCGCAGGGGGGTCATGAGGAGACGATTCAGCTCTATCTGATTGACTCTCCTGTGTATCCGGTGGTGCTGGGGCTTCCCTGGTTGATTACCCATGACCCTACTATTTCGTGGCGAGAGAAAGCTCTTAAAGGGTGGTCTGCTCAGTGTGAGGGGCTGTGTCTGGGTGTTTCCATAGGGGCGACCTCAGTGGAAAGTCAGAATCTAATGCCTGCACTGCATATTCCCCCCGAGTATGAGGATTTGACACTGGTGTTTAGTAAGACTAGGGCGGTGCAGCTGCCGCCTCATAGACAGGGGGATTGTGCGATAGATCTCCAGTTAGGAGCAGCCCTCCCGCGGAGCCATGTGTATCCCTTGTCTCAAGAGGAGAGGAAGGCGATGGAAACTTACATCGCCGAGTCTCTGAGACAGGGATACATACGGGCCTCCACTTCACCCGCTTCCTCAAGCTTCTTTTTTGTGAAGAAAAAGGATGGAGGTCTGCGCCCGTGTATTGATTACCGCGGTCTCAATCAGATTACAGTGAAGTACAGCTATCCACTTCCTCTGATTGCGACTATGACGGAATCATTACACGGTGCTCAGTTCTTCACAAAATTGGATCTCAGGAGCGCATATAACTTGGTGCGCATTAGAGAGGGCGCTCTTTTTGTATTACTCTCGTGTTTGTTGTTTTCCGAGAGTCCGCACTGTGTGCGCTATCTTCATTTTACGCACTGTGTGTGTTGTGCGTAATTTGTATTTTGCCTCCCGGTTGGGTTGGCTGTTCGCCTGTTTGGTGCTGCATTTTGTTAACTAAAGTCTGTTGACGAACGCCCGTGTTTCCTGCGCTTGATTTCCTCACCGCATCTACACTCAGCTACTGACAGACACAGAGGTCTCTCGCAGCGTTGGGCCCAGTACTCCTCAGGACAGCTCTGACAGTCTGAAGAATCCGATCAGGAGAAAACAACAGTCATCAAATGTTAATAATAAAAGATTTGTTTAATTTATTTACACATACAACTACATGTCCCACAATGCTGCACTTTGGCAGTTTACAATAAATAATATTGAATTGCTGTGCAGCTTACATCAGATAATCAGAACATGAACATGATTGATAGACACTACCTGTCTTTGTAGTGCTAGTAATATGAATAAACCATATAAATTTCCCTTAGTAAAGGATGATATAATTTACTACACATTTTCTGCCAACTACAGTGGGGGAAAAAAGTATTTAGTCAGCCACCAATTGTGCAAGTTCTCCCACTTAAAAAGATGATAGAGGCCTGTAATTTTCATCATAGGTACACGTCAACTATGACAGACAAATTGAGAAAAAAAAATCCAGAAAATCGCATTGTAGGATTTTTAATGAATTTATTTGCAAATTATGGTGGATAATAAGTATTTGGTCACCTACAAACAAACAAGATATCTGGCTCTCACAGACCTGTAACTTCTTCTTTAAGAGGCTCCTCTGTCCTCCACTCGTTACCTGTATTAATGGCACCTGTTTGAACTTGTTATCAGTATAAAAGACACCTGTCCACAACCTCAAACAGTCACACTCCAAACTCCACTATGGCCAAGACCAAAGAGCTGTCAAAGGACACCAGAAACAAAATTGTAGACCTGCACCAGGCTGGGAAGACTGAATCTGCAATAGGTAAGCAGCTTGGTTTGAAGAAATCAACTGTGGGAGCAATTATTAGGAAATGGAAGACATACAAGACCACTGATAATATCCCTCGATCTGGGGCTCCACGCAAGATCTCACCCCGTGGGGTCAAAATTATCACAAGAACGGTGAGCAAAAATCCCAGAACCACACGGGGGGACCTAGTGAATGACCTGCAGAGAGCTGGGACCAAAGTAACAAAGCCTACCATCAGTAACACACTACGCCGCAAGGGACTCAAATCCTGCAGTGCCAGACGTGTCCCCCTGCTTAAGCCAGTACATGTCCAGGCCCGTCTGAAGTTTGCTAGAGTGCATTTGGATGATCCAGAAGAGGATTGGGAGAATGTCATATGGTCAGATAAAAACCAAAATATAACTTTTTGGTAAAAACTCAACTCGTCGTGTTTGGAGTACAATGAATGTGGAGTTGCTATTTTTCTGCAAAGGGACCAGGACGACTGATCCGTGTAAAGGAAAGAATGAATGGGGCCATGTATCATGAGATTTTGAGTGAAAACCTCCTTCCATCAGCAAGGGCATTGAACATGAAACGTGGCTTGGTCTTTCGGCATGACAATGATCCCAAACACACCGCCCGGGCAACGAAGGAGTGGCTTCGTAAGAAACATTTCAAGGTCCTGGAGTGGCCTAGCCAGTCTCCAGATCTCAACCCCATAGAAAATCTTTGGAGGGAGTTGAAAGTCCGTGTTGCCCAGCGACAGCCCCAAAACATCACTGCTCTAGAGGAGATCTGCATGGGGGAATGGGCCAAAATACCAGCAACAGTGTGTGAAAACCTTGTGAAGACTTACAGAAAACGTTTGACCTGTGTCATTGCCAACAAAGGGTATATAACAAAGTATTGAGAAACTTTTGTTATTGACCAAATACTTATTTTCCACCATAATTTGCTAATAAATTCATTAAAAATCCTACAATGTGATTTTCTGGAATTTTTCTCATTTTGTCTGTCATAGTTGACGTGTACCTATGATGAAAATTACAGGCCTCTCTCATCTTTTTAAGTGGGAGAACTTGCACAATTGGTGGCTGACTAAATACTTTTTCCCCCCAATGTATTTCTATAGACCTACCTGTGATATTACTGATCTCTCCCTCTGCACATGGTACACAGTCATAACAGCAGACAGGCTTTCCTTTCTGTGCAGCCTTACGAGTGCCTGGGGGACAGCTCTCACTGCCCACTGACACAGGCACCTGTGTAGTGTTCGCTACCCAGGTGATTTCCCTCTCCATGCGAATCCTCTGGCCAGGGGGCAGGGATGCATCATAGTGCGCCACTGTCACAAACTCCATGTTCCCACTCTCCCCTATCTGCCAGTTGACCAGCTCACAGGTGGCCACTGGGTCCCCGTTGGCAGTGAAAGAGACCTGGTACTCGTTACGGGAGAAGTTCGTGAGAGCTGTAATGTATTGTGAGACCTGTAATGTATAGTGAGAACTGTAATGTATGGTGATGTATAGTGAGAACTGTAATGTATAGTGAGAGCTGTAATGTATTGTGAGAACTGTAATGTATAGTGATGTATTGTGAGAACTGTAATGTATAGTGATGTATAGTGAGAACTGTAATGTATGGTGAGAACTGTAATGTATAGTGATGTATAGTGAGAACTGTAATGTATTGTGAGAACTGTAATGTATAGTGATGTATAGTGAGAACTGTAATGTATTGTGAGAACTGTAATGTATAGTGATGTATAGTGAGAACTGTAATGTATTGTGAGAACTGTAATGTATAGTGATGTATAGTGAGAACTGTAATGTATATTGAGAGCTGTAATGTATAGTGAGAACTGTAATGTATTGTGATGTATAGTGAGAACTGTAATGTATAGTGATGTACAGTGAGAACTGTAATGTATAGTGAGAACTGTACTATATAGTGAGAACTGTAATGTATAGTGAGAACTGTAATGTATATTGAGAGCTGTAATGTATAGTGATGTATAGTGAGAACTGCAATGTATTGTGAGAACTGTAATGTATATTGAGAGCTGTAATGTATAGTGATGTATAGTGAGAACTGTAATATATAGTGAGAACTGTGATATATAGTGAGAGCTGTAATGTCACCTTGACCATTCGGATTGATGGGTGACTACGGGAACGAAGGAAGGAGAGGAAGTCCGATTCCAACTCGCCTCCGAGGCATCCCAGAAGTCCCCGACGGCTCTGTTGCCGAGAGAACCCGAGGCTACCCGAGTTCCCCCGAGAGTCTCCGAAGTCTGCCGATTCACCTCTTCCCGAGCCGATGCAACCAGGCAGAGCTAAGCTGTCTCCAGCCGAACGGCAATATAGTCTTCACACGAAGAGTTGCCTGTATTACGGGACTACTGGTCATTTTGTGTCCACCTGTTCACTAAAAGACCAGGCTTACCGGTAGGCAGCGAGTACTCTGCTGGGCCACATGGATAACTTTTCCTCTCCCCTTACTCACACCCCCTTTCATGCCAACGTGCTGTGGGGGAACCAGTCGAAATCTCCGGGTACTCATCGACTCTGGGGCCGATGAGAGCTTTATGGACGCTACCTTGGCGTCCGAGCTGGGCATCCCCACTCAGACCCTCTCCATTCCCATGGACGTTAGAGCGCTGGACGGGCGCTCTATAGGCCGGGTCACCCACAATACCACCCCTATCAACCTACGACTATCAGGGAACCACAGCGAGACGATCCAATTCCTACTAATTAAGTCTCCTCAGGTTCCCCTGGTATTGGGTTTCTCTTGGCTCCAGCGACACAACCCGTTCATTGACTGGTCTACTGGTGCCATCATGGGCTGGAGCCCGTTCTGCCACTCTCATTGCCTGAAGTCAGCGCAGCCTGCCCCGGGCCACTTAGCTTCCGCCACACCAACCCTACGACTGCGGAATCGACCTTCTCCCAGGCACCACTCCGCCCTGGGGATGACCGTACTCGCTGTCGGGTCTGGAGACCAAGGCTATGGAGACCTACATTGAGGACTCCCCTAGCTGCCATGTTCATCTGTCCTTCTGCCTCCCCCGCCAGTGCAGGGTTCTTTTGTGGAGAAGAAGGACAAAACCCTGTGCCTGTGCAATGGTCTACCGGGGCCTCAACGACATCACGGTGAAAAAACGCTACCCACTACCTCTCATCTCCTCGGCCTTTGAGCCGCTCCAGGGGACCTACGGAACGCCTACCACCTGGTGCAGATACGGGAGGGGGACGAGTGGAAGACTGCCTTCAACATGGCCAGCGGTCACTACGAGTATCTGGTCATGCCATTTGGCCTTACCAATGCTCCAGCTGTGTTCCAGGCCCTGGTTAATGATGTTCTCCGCGACATGTGGAACCGGTTCGTCTTCGTCTACCTCGACGACATCCTCGTCTTCTCCCGCTCCGCCCAAGAACACGTGCACCACGTCCGACAGGTCCTCCAACGCCTCCTGGAGAACCAGTTTTTTGTGAAAGGGGAGAAATGCGAATTCCATCACTCCACCATCCCCTTCCTGGGCTACATCCTCGCTGCAGGGAGTGTACAGATGGATCCTGGGAAGGTGAGAGCGGTGGTGAATTGGCCCCAGCCTATGTCCAGAGTGCAGCTGCAACATTTCCTGGGATTCGCCAACTTTTATTGCCGCTTTATCCGGGGTTACAGCACCCTGGCTTCCCTACTGTCTGCACTCAAACACTGTTTCACCACTGCTCCCATCTTGGTTCATCCTGACCCTTCCCGCCAATTCGTGGTGGAGGCCGATGCTTCGGATGTCGGAGTGGGAGTGGTCCTGTCCCAGCGTGCGGCCCTGGACCTCAAGTTTCATCCCTGCACCATCTTCTCCCATCGCCTCAACACCATGGAGAGGAATCACGATGTAGGGGAATCGTGAACTTCTCGCAGTGAAAATGGCATTGGAGGAGTGGAGGCACTGGCTGGAGGGGGCATTCACTGTGTGGACAGACCACAAGAACTTGGAATATCTCCGCACCGCCAAGTGTCTCAATTCCAGGCAAGCTAGGTGGGCCCTGCTTTTCACCCGGTTCAACTACTCCCTCTCATACCGACCGGGATCCAAGAATGTCAGGCCAGATGCACTGTCACACCGCTATTGCCCCGCGGCTACACCCCTGGAATCCGAGACTATCCTTCCCACCTCGTGCTTTGCGACGGCACTCAGTTGGGGAATAGAGAAGCAGGTCCGGGAGGCACAGCATTCCCAGCCAAACCCCGGGGGGAGCCAGATAACCAAATGTTTGTTCCTGACGCTGTCCGCTCCTCGGTCCTGGAGTGGGCCCACTCCTCTAGGCTTGCCTGTCACCCGGACTCCCGTCGGACCCTGGCCTTTGTGCAACAACGCTTTTGGTGGCCTACCATGGTTCCTGACATCTCCGCGTTCGTCGCCGCCTGCACGATCTGTGCACAGAACAAGACTCCTCGCCAAGCTCCGGCTTGTTTCCTCCAACCTCTGCCTGTTCCTCACCGACCCTGGTCTCACATATCCCTTGACTTTGTCACGGGTCTTCCCCCGTGTGATGGCAACACCGCCATCCTGACTGTTGTGGACCGGTTTTTTCCTCTCCCCAAGCTACCCTCCGCCAAAGAGACGACCCAGGTCATGGTACAGCACGTCTTCTGGATCCATGGACTCCCAGTGGACATAGTCTCCGACCGGGGTCCTCAGTTCTCGTCCCAGTTCTGGAAGGTGTTCTGCATACTCATTGGGTCGTTGGCCAGCCTGTCCTCCGGTTTCCACCCTCAGTCCAACGGCCAGTCGGAGTGAGCCAACCAAGACCTGGAGACGACTCCGCGGTGCCTGGTCTCCGCCAACCCTACCACCTGGAGCCAGCAACTAGTGTGGGTCGAATACGCCATCAACACTCTTCCCTGCTCTGCCACGGGTATTTTGCTCTTTGAGTGTTTCCTGGGTTATCAGCCACCGCTCGTCTCGGAGCAAGAGGAAGAGGTCGGCGTACCCTCGGCCCAGATGTTTGTCCGCTGCTGTCGTCGTACCTGGAGGAGAGCCCGGTCGGCTCTTCTCAAGACCACCTCCAGGTATCGATGACAAGCAGACCGCCACCGGACCCCGGTCCCCGGTATCATCTCGGGCAGAAGGTATGGCTATCCACCCGAGATCTGCCCCTCCGGGTGGAGTCCCGCAAACTTTCCCCCCGGTTATCGGCCCTTTCTCCATCTCCAAGATCATTAGCCCCTCTGCTGTTCATCTTCTGTTGCCCCGTACCCTCCATATACATCCCACTTTTCATGTGTCTAGGATCAAACCCATGTCTCACAGCCCTTTGTCTCCTGTTTCCAGGGCCCCCCCTCTCCCCCGTCTCATCGACAGCCAACCGGCATACAAAGTGAGGCGTCTCCTGAAGATTCGACCTCTGGGCATGGGATTCCAGTACCTGGTTGACTGGGAGGGTTATGGCCTGTAGGGGAGGTGCTTGGTCCCCGCTAGGGACATCCTGGACCCAGGCCTCATCACTGAGTTTCCAGGTAGGATGCCAGGTTGTGCCCCTAGGGGAGGGGGTACTGTCACACCCTGATCGGTTTCACCTGTCTTTGTGATTGTCTCCACCCCCCTCCAGGTGTCACCCATCTTTCCCATTATCCCCAGTGTATTTATACCTGTGTTCTCTGTTTGTCTGTTGCCAGTTTGTTTTGTTTCGTCAAGCCTACGCGTGGTTTCCCCTCCTGTCTTTTTCAAGTTCCTGTTTTCTAGTTTTCTCGGTTTTGACCATTCTGCCTGCCCTGACCCTGAGCCTGCCTGCCGTTCTGTACCTTGTCACACCACCCTGGATTATTGACCTCTGCCTGGCCTGACCCTGAGACTGCCTGCCGTTCTGTACCTTTTGGACTCTGATCTGGATTACTGACCTCTGCCTGCCCTTGACCTGTCGTTTGCCTGCCTGTAATGTATAGTGATGTATAGTGAGAACTGTAATGTATAGTTAGAACTGTATAGTGATGTATAGTGAGAACTGTAATGTATAGTGAGCACTGTAATGTATAGTGAGAACTGTAATGTATAGTGAGAACTGTAATGTATAGTGATGTATAGTGAGAACTGTAATGTATAGTGAGCACTGTAATGTATAGTGAGAACTGTAATGTATAGTAAGAACTGTAATGTATAGTGATGTATAGTGAGAACTGTAATGTATAGTGAGCACTGTAATGTATAGTGAGAACTGTAATGTATAGTGAGAACTGTAATGTATAGTGAGAACTGTAATGTATTGTGAGAACTGTAATGTATAGTGAGAACTGTAATGTATAGTGAGCACTGTAATGTATAATGAGAACTGTAATGTATAGTGAGAACTGTAATGTATTGTGAGAACTGTAATGTATAGTGAGAACTGTAATGTATAGTGAGAACTGTAATGTATAGTGAGAACTGTAATGTATAGTGAGAACTGTAATGTATAGTGAGCACTGTAATGTATAGTGAGCACTGTAATGTATAGTGAGAACTGTAATGTATAGTGATGTATAGTGAGAACTGTAATGTATAGTGATGTATAGTGAGAACTGTAATGTTAGTTAGAACTGTAATGTATAGTGAGAACTGTAATGTATAGTGAGCACTGTAATGTATAGTGAGCACTGTAATGTATAGCGAGCACTGTAATGTATAGTGATGTATAGTGAGAACTGTAATGTATAGTGAGAACTGTAATGTTAGTGAGATATGTAATGTATAGTGAGAACTGTAATGTATAGTGAGAACTGTAATGTATAGTGAGCACTGTAATGTATAGTGAGAACTGTAATGTATAGTGAGAACTGTAATGTATAGTGATGTATAGTGAGAACTGTAATGTATAGTGAGAACTGTAATGTATAGTGAGAACTGTAATGTATAGTGAGAACTCTTAAGCCTTCATTCATGTAGTCTAAATAAACATATCTATCAGGACATTCTACTGTTGTTTTGTCATTCACCTGAGTTGGCTTCACATTGAGGTTTTTGTCACAGTGGAGTTTGCTCTCTCTTCACAAGCCATGCTGTGGATGGTGTGTGCTATGGCGTAAACGTCTTTATACACAATGTTAGTGACACGCAGCTGGGATGTATCTGTGACAGTAGCTTCTGAATAACCTCACTGTCATCACACACCTTCTCCTCAGCCCCAACACCTGTAGTATGTTTTTATGTTTTGTTTACCCCATATGTAACTCTGTGTTGTTGTTTTTATCGCACTGCTTTGCTTTATCTTGGCCAGGTCGCAGTTGTAAAGGAGAACTTGTTCTCAACTGGCTTACCTGGTTAAATAAAGGTGAAATAAAAATAAATAAAAAGCAATAGTACTCCCTACAGACAGACAGACAAATAGGTAGAAAGACAGACAGAGAGATAGATAGATAGGCTCTACGCAGTATTTCCCTTACAGTCTAGTCCTCTTGGCACGCTGGCTCTATACAGTATTTCCCTTACGGTCTAGTCCTCTTGGCACGCTGGCTCTATACAGTATTTCCCTTACAGTCTAGTCCTCTTGGCACGCTGGCTCTATACAGTATTTCCCTTACAGTCAAGTCCTCTTGGCACGCTGGCTCTACGCAGTATTTCCCTTACAGTCTAGTCCTCTTGGCACGCTGGCTCTACGCAGTATTTCCCTTACAGTCTAGTCCTCTTGGCACGGTGGCTCTACGCAGTATTTCCCTTACAGTCTAGTCCTCTTGGCACGCTGGCTCTATGCAGTATTTCCCTTACAGTCTAGTCCTCTTGGCACGGTGGCTCTATGCAGTATTTCCCTTACAGTCTAGTCCTCTTGGCACGCTGGCTCTATACAGTATTTCCCTTACAGTCTAGTCCTCTTGGCACGCTGGCTCTACGCAGTATTTCCCTTACAGTCTAGTCCTCTTGGCACGCTGGCTCTACACAGTATTTCCCCTACAGTCTAGTCCTCTTGGCATGCTGGCTCTACACAGTATTTCCCCTACAGTCTAGTCCTCTTGGCATGCTGGCTCTACACAGTATTTCCCCTACAGTCTAGTCCTCTTGGCACGCTGGCTCTACGCAGTATTTCCCTTACAGTCTAGTCCTCTTGGCACTGTGGCTCTACGCAGTATTTCCCTTACAGTCTAGTCCTCTTGGCACGCTGGCTCTATACAGTATTTCCCTTACAGTCTAGTCCTCTTGGCACGCTGGCTCTATACAGTATTTCCCTTACAGTCTAGTCCTCTTGGCACGCTGGCTCTATGCAGTATTTCCCTTACAGTCTAGTCCTCTTGGCACGCTGGCTCTATACAGTATTTCCCTTACAGTCTAGTCCTCTTGGCACGCTGGCTCTATACAGTATTTCCCTTACAGTCTAGTCCTCTTGGCACGCTGGCTCTATGCAGTATTTCCCTTACAGTCTAGTCCTCTTGGCACGCTGGCTCTATACAGTATTTCCCTTACAGTCTAGTCCTCTTGGCACGCTGGCTCTATACAGTATTTCCTCTACAGTCTAGTCCTCTTGGCACGCTGGCTCTACACAGTATTTCCCCTACAGTCTAGTTTCTCTTGGCACGCTGGCTTCTATACAGTATTTCCCTTACAGTCGAGTCCCTCGTGGCACGCAGGCTCTATGTCAGTATTTCCCTTACAGTCCTAGTCCCTTGGCACGCTGTCGCTACGCAGTATTTCCCTTACAGTCTAGTCCTCTTGGCACCTGGCCTCTACCAGTATTCCCTCTCGTCCTAGTCCTCTTGGCACGCTTGCTCTATACAGTATTTCCTTACAGTCTATCCTCTTGGCACTCTGGCTCTACGCAGTATTTCCCTTAACATTCTAGTCCTCTTGGCACGCTGACTCTACGCAGTAATTTTTTCCCTACAGTCTAGTCCTCTTGGCACGCCTGGCTCTATCCAAGTATTTCCCTTCAGTCTATCCTCTTGGCACGCTGGCTCTACGCAGTATTCCCTACGGCAGTCCTCTTTGGCACGCTGCTTCTATACAGTATTCCCTTACATTCAGTCCTCTGGCACCTGGCTCTATACAGTATTTTCCCTTACAGTCTAGTCCCTCTTGGCCCTGGCTCTACGCAGTATTTCCCTTACAGTCTAGTCCTCTTGGCACGCTGGCTCTACGCAGCATTTCCCTTACAGTCTAGTCCTCTTGGCACGCTGGCTCTATACAGTATTTCCCTTACAGTCTAGTCCTCTTGGCACGCTGGCTCTATACAGTATTTCCCAGAAAGTGTTGTTTTCTAAAGCCATGAATAGAATGTGAATCCTGAGTGATGCTCAAATGAAGTAGTTTGTAACCATAACAACTAGTTCATGATCATTCTGTGCTCTAATTTTTATATTTTCGATGAGGTTTTGATATTTTTGTATCCCAAGTGCACCAATTAATTAGAGTAACAACAATAACTCCAGATGAATAAATATACTTTTTTTTTATAACACCTAATATGCATGCAGCAAGATTCTACTCAAAGGTTGGTGGGTGGAAGATACAACTGTTAAACAACTTTTCCAACATAGTACATAAACAGAGTTTACCAAACATTAGGAACACCTTCCTGATATTGAGTTGCCCCCCCCCCCCCCCCCCCCCCCCCCCCCCCCCTCCCCTCCCTTTGCCCTCAGAACAGCCTCAATTCGTCGGGGCATGGACTCTACAAGGTGTCGAAAGCATTCCACAGGGATGCTGGCCCATATTGACTACAATGCTTCCCACAGTTGTGTCAAGTGGGCTGGATGTCCTTTGGGTGGTGGACCATTTTTGATAGACACAGGGGGCGGCAGGTAGCTTAGTGGTTAAGAGCGTTGTGCCAGTAACCGAAAGGTCGCTGGTTCTAATCCCCGAGCCGACTAGGTGAAAAATCTGTCGATGTGCCCTTGAGCAAGGTACTTAACCCTAATTGCTCCTGTAAGTCGCTCTGGATAAGAGTGTCTGCTAAATGACTGAAATTGTAAATGTAAAATGAAACTGTTGAGCGTGAAAAACCCAGCAGTGTTGCAGTTCTTGACACAAGCCGGTGCGCCTGGCACATACCACGTTCAAAGGCACTTCAATCTTTATCTTCCCCATTCACCCTCTGAATGGCACACGTACACAATCCATGTCTCAATTGTCTCAAGGCTTAAAAATCCTTCTTTAACCTGTCTCCTCCCCTTCATCTACACTGATTGAAGTGGATTTAACAAGTGACATCAATAAGGGATCATAGCATTTCTCTGTAAGGTCTACACTTGTTGTATTCGGCGCAAGTGACAAATAACATTTGATTTGATTTGATTCACCTGGTTCGTCTATGTCATGGAAAGAGCAGGTGTTCCTAATGTTTTGTATACTCAGTGTGTATTGTAGCCTATATGAGATATACTGTACATTTTATGTTACAAAAGCATATACATAAGGAAAAATACATTTTTCATTACTCATTAACTACTTTTTATTCCCCATGATATGTTGTTTAATGTTTCTCTCTGGTCTCAGGAGGATGATGTAACACTTCGGAGCAAACAGACAGAACAGCAGCCCAAAGCTGGAGGCCAGGATGGCAAAGATCTCTACAGCTACTGTGTACTTTCCAGGAGAGCTGACGTAGGCTGGGATGAAGGAGATCCACACGGCACAGAAGATCAGCATGCTGAAGGTGATGAACTTGGCCTCGTTGAAGTTGCCCGGCAGTTTCCGGGCCAGAAATGCCAGGATGAAGCACAGACAGGCCAAGAGGCCGATGTATCCCAGAACGCACCAGAAGGCCAGTGGAGAGCCCACACTGCACTCCAGAATAATCTTAGAGCGTTGGTCCTGGGTGTTTCTGGATGGGTAGGGAGGGGCAGCGATGAGCCAGGCAGCACAGATCAGCACCTGAACCAGGGTGCAGCAGAAGATGATGACCCTCTGCTGTTTGGGCCCCAGCCACTTCATGATGTTGTTCCCAGGCCTGGTGGAAGTGAAGGCACCCAGGACCACCAGAGTTTTGCCCAGGATGCAGGAGATGCAGAGGGAGAAGGTGATGCTGAAGGTGGTGTGGCGCAGCATGCAGGACCAGGAGGTGGGCTCCCCGATGAACATCAGCGCACACAGGAAGCACAGAGTCAGGGAGAAAAGGATAGAGAAACTCAGCTCAGAGTTGTTGACGCGGACAATGGGAGTGGTCCTGTGATGGAGGAAGACCGCCAGGACGGACACGGTCAGACAGGCGCCCACTACAGCGATCACCGTCAGGGCTATCCCCATTGCATCATGGGAAAGGAACTCCACCACTTTGGGGATGCACAATGTTCCATCAGCGTTTGACCAGTAGTCCTCGGGACATTCTGTGCAGTCTATAGAATCTACACAGAAAAACAGAGAGAAAGAGATTAGGAATTTATCAATGATGGGTATGTGATGCAGTCATGTGATATCCTACACATATGTGACATTTGGTGGCAGAAGTGGAACTGGTGGGCAGAGGTTAAGCCCTTAAAGTACCAACAAGGGTAAATTCTTTTTTTCTGAAATGTCAGGACTTTGTCAAGCAACTGGTTACCGAAGAAAAAACACAATTTACCATGATTTCTGTGTTAATAAAGAGAAATTAAAAATAATCTATATTTTGTATACTGGTGGTGTAAGATGAAAATACACAACAGAGGTAGATGTATATAGAAGTAGATGTATGTAGAGGTAGAGGTATATAGAAGTAGATGTATGTAGAAGTAGATGTATGTAGAAGTAGATGTATGTAGAGGTAGATGTATATAGAAGTAGATGTATATAGAAGTAGATGTATGTAGAAGTAGATGTATGTAGAAGTAGATGTATGTAGAAGTAGATGTATGTAGAAGTAGATGTATGTAGAAGTAGATGTATGTAGAGGTAGATGTATGTAGAGGTAGATGTATGTAGAAGTAGATGTATGTAGAAGTAGATGTATGTAGAAGTAGATGTATGTAGAAGTAGATGTAGAAGTAGATGTATGTCGAAGTAGCTGTCTGTAGCAGTACATGTTGTAGAGGTAGATGTATGTAGAGGTAGTTATGTGAGGTCGATGTATGTAGAGTAGATGTATTAGAAGTAGATGTATGGTAGAAGTAATGTTGTAGAGGTGTTTATGTAGAGGTAGATGTATGTAGCCGTAGATGTCTGTAGCCGTAGATTCTGTAGACGTAGCATGTATGTACGAAGTTGTCGAGTCGTGCTGTAGAGTAGCATGTATGTAGACGTCCATGTATGTCGAAGTAGATGTTGTAGACCGTACATGTCTGTAGGGTCGATGTTGTAGAGGTAGCTGTATGGGAGAAGTCGATGTTGTAGCAGTCGTGTATGTAGACGTAGACTGTTGTAGAGTAGCTGTATGTAGAGTAGCTTTGTCGAAGTAGTGTATGTGCGTAGATGTATGTAGAGTAGATGTATGTAGAGTAGTGTATGTAGAAGTAGATGTATGTCGCAGTAGATGGGCTGTGCGTAGCTGTATGTCGGGTAGATGTTGTCGCGGTAGATGTCTGTAGCAGTCGATGTATGTCGAAGTCGATGTATGTAGAAGTAGATGTATGTAGAAGTAGATGTAGAAGTAGATGTATGTAGAAGTAGATGTATGTAGAAGTAGATGTATGTAGAAGTAGATGTATGTAGAAGTAGATATATGTAGAAGTAGATGTATGTACCCTGAAAAGATATACAGTGCATTCGGAGAGTATTCAGATCCCTTGACTTTTTCCACATTTTGTTGCATTACAGCCTTATTCTAAAATTGATTAAACAGTTATTTTTCAATCTACACACAATACCCCATAATGACAAAGCAAAAACAGGTTTTAGAAATGTTTGCAAATGTATTAATAATAAAAAACTTAAATATCAAATTTACATAAGTATTCAGACCCTTTAGTTAGTACTTTGTTGAAGCACCTTTGGCAGCGATTACAGACTTGAGTCTTCTTGGGTATGACGCTACAAGCTTGGCACACCTGTATTTGGGGAGTTTCTCCCATTCTTCTCTGCAGATCCTCTTAAGCTCTGTCAGGTTGGATGGGGAGCATCACTGCACAGCTATTTCTGGTCTCTCCAGAGATGTTCGATCGGGTTCAAGTCTGGGCTCTGGCTGAGCCACTCAAGGACATTCAGAGACTTGTCCCGAAGCCACTCCTGCGTTGCCTTGGCTGTGTGCTTAGGGTCGTTGTCCTGTTGGAAGGTGAACCTTCGCCCCAGTCTGAGGTCCTGAGCGCTCTGGAGCAGGTTTCATCAAGGATCTCTCTGTACTTTTTTCCGTTAATCTTTCCCTCAATCCTGACTAGTCTCCCAGTCCCCGCCCGCTGAAAGACATCCCCATAGCATGATGCTGCCACCACCATGCTTCACCATAGGGATGGAGCCAGGTTTCCTCCAGAAATAACACTTGGTATTCAGGCCAAAGAGATCAATCTTGGTTTAATCAGACCAGAGAATCTTGTTTCTCATGGTCTGAGAGTCCTTTAGGTGCCTTTCGGCAAACTCCAAGCAGGCTGTCATGTGCCTTTTACTGAGGAATGGCTTCTGTCTGGCCACACTACCATAAAGGCCTTATTGGTGTAGTGCTGCAGAGATGGTTGTCCTTCTGGAAGGTTCTACCATCTCCACAGATTAACTATGGAGCTCTGTCAGAGTGACCATCGGGTTCTTGGTCACCTCCCTGACCAAGGCCCTTCTCCCCCGATTGCTCAATTTGGCCGGGCGGCCAGCTCTAGGAAGAGTCTTGGTGGTTCCAAACTTCTTCCATTTAAGAATGATGGAGGCCACTGTGTTCTTGGGGACCTTCAATGCTGCAGAAATGTTTTGGTACCCTTCCCCAGATCTGTGCCTCAGCACAATCCTTTCTTGGATCTCTACGGACAATTCCTTCGACCTCATGGCTTGGTTTTTGCTCTGACATGCACTGTCAACTGTGGGACCTTATATAGACAGGTGTGTGCCTTTCCAAATCATGTCCAATCAATTGAATTTACCACAGGTGGACTTCAATCAAGTTGTAGAAACATCTTAAGGATGATCAATGGAAACAGGATGCACCTGAGCTCAAACCATTTACTTGTGTTACAAAGTGTTAATCAAATAAAAAGTGTTACTGCTTGACAGAAAGCGGCACAGGTCCTAATCCAGGCACTTGTCATCTCCCGTCTGGATTACTGCAACTCGCTGTTGGCTGGGCTCCCTGCCTGTGTCATTAAACCCCTACAACTTATCCAGAATGCTGCAGCCCGTCTGGTGTTCAACCTTCCCAAGTTCTCTCACCTCACCCCGCTCCTCCGCACACTCCACTGGCTTCCAGTTGAGGCTCGCATCTACTACAAGACCATGATGCTTGCCTATGGAGCTGTGAGGGGAACGGCACCTCCTTACCTTCAGGCTCTGATCAGACCCTACACCCAAATGAGGGCACTACGTTCATCCACCTCTGGCCTGCTAGTTCCCCTACCTCTACGGAAGCATAGTTCCCGCTCAGCCCAGTCAAAGCTATTCGCTGCTCTGGCACCCCAATGGTGGAACAAGCTCCCCCATGACGCCAGGATAGCGGAGTCACTGACCACCTTCCGGAGACACTTGAAACCCTACCTCTTTAAGGAACACCTGGAATAGTATAAAGTAATCCTTCTACCCCCCCCCCCCCCATAAAAAAAAAGTGGTTGTCCCACTGGCTTTCATAAGTTGAATGCACCAATTTGTAAGTCGCTCTGGATAAGAGCGTCTGCTAAATGATGTAAATGTAAATGTTGACAGACAGTGTCTCTTTGCAATCATTACCAATTTGGGGTAAATTAGGGTATTACCAGTTGGCACTATTCAACCAAAAATACGTTGGTGCTTTTAATGTTAAAGGAGGCTACAGGAATAAGACAAGTGGAGGAGGACGTGCTCCTGGACAAAACAAGGCCCTTTCTGTCAGCATCAACACAACACATGGACAAGATGAGCATAGTGCACTCATCTGTATCTAGGGTAGAGAGTCAGAGTCCTCACCAAATCAGAGTCCTCACCTGTCTGATTACTAATCTACAGATAAGTCATTCTATTGATTAGGGTATATCAGAGTCCTCACCTGTCTGATTACTAATTTACAGATAAGTAATTCTATTGATTAGGGTAAATCAGAGTCCTCACCTGTCTGATTACTAATCTACAGATAAGTCATTCTATTGATTAGGGAATATCAGAGTCCTCACCTGTCTGATTACTAATCTACAGATAAGTCATTCTATTGATTAGGGTATATCAGAGTCCTCACCTGTCTGATTACTAATCTACAGATAAGTCATTCTATTGATTAGGGTAAATCAGAGTCCTCACCTGTCTGATTACTAATCTACAGATAAGTCATTCTATTGATTAGGGTAAATCAGAGTCCTCACCTGTCTGATTACTAATCTAACAGATAAGTCATTCTATTGATTAGGGTAAATCAGAGTCCTCACCTGTCTGATTACTAATCTACAGATAAGTCCATTCTATTGATTAGGGTATATCAGAGTCCTCACCTGTCTGATTACTAATCTACAGATTAAGTCATTCTATTGATTAGGGAATATCAGAGTCCTCACCTGTCCTGTTTACTAATCATAGATAAGTCATTCTATTGATTAGGGTATATCAGAGTCCTTCACCTGTCTGATTACTAATTCCAGATAAGTCATTCTTGTGATTAGGGTAATCAGCCCGAGTCCTCACCTGTCTGATACTAATCTTAGATAAGCATTCCTATTGATTAGGGAATATCAGAGTCCTCACGGTCCGATTATAATCTATAGATAAAGTCATTCTATTGCTTAGGGTTATATCAGAGTCCTCACCTGTCTGATACTATATACAGATAAGCATTCGATTGACTCAGGGCAATATCAGGTACTCACCTGTCTGATTACTAAGCTACAGATAAGTCATTCTAATTGACTAGGGAATATTCAGACCAAGCTCCTACACCTTGTTTCTGATTACAATATACAGATAAGTCATTCTATTGATTTAGGCCGCAATATCAGAGTACTCAACCTGTCTGATTACTAATCTACAGATAGTCATTCTATTGGATTAGGGTATTATCAGAGTCCTCACCTGTCTGATTAATAATCTAAGATAAGTCATTCTATGATTAGGACATAATCAGACGTCCTCTACCTGTCTGATACTATCTACAGATAAGTCATTATAGTGATTAGGGGAATATTCAGGTCATCACCTGTCTGATTCACAATTATAGATAAGTCAGTCGAATTGATTAGGGTATATCAGACGTCCTCACCTGTCTGATTACTAATCTTACGATAAGTTCATTTATTGACTAGGGAATATCAGAGTCCTCACCTGTCTGATATAATATACAGATAAGTTCATTCTATTGACTAGGGAATATCAACGAGTCCTCACCTGTTGCTTTACAAATCTACGAAATCATTTCTATTGAGGGGAATATCAGAGTCCTCACCTGTATGATTTACTAATCTACAGATAAGTCATTTCTATGAGTAGGGTATATCAGAGTCCTCACCTGTCTGATTACTAATCTACACGATAATCATTCTATTGATTTTAGGGAATATCAGGAGTCCTCACCTCGTCGATTACTAATCTATAGATAAGTCATTCTATTGATTAGGGGAATATCAGAGTCCTCACCGTCTGATTACTAATCTATAGATAAGTCATTCTATTGATTAGGGTATATCAGAGTCCTCACCTGTCTGATTACTAATCTACAGATAAGTCATTCTATTGACTAGGGAATATCAGAGTCCTCACTGTCTGATTACTAATCTACAGATAAGTCATTCTATTGACTAGGGAATATCAGAGTCCTCACCTGTCTGATTACTAATCACAGATAAGTCATTCTATTGATTTAGGGAATATCAGAGTTCCTCACCTGTCTGATTACTAATCTACAGATAAGTCATTCTATTGATTAGGGTTATATCAGAGTCCTCACCTGTCTGATTACTAATCTACGATAAGTCATTCTATTGATTAGGGAATATCAGAGTCCTCACCTGTCTGATACTAATCTACAGATAAGTCATTCTATTGATTAGGGAATATCCGAGTCCTCACCTGTCTGATTACTAATCTAAATTAAGTCATTCTAGTGACTAGGGGAATAATCCGAGTCCTAACCTGTCTAATCTACAGATAAGCATTCTATGATAGGGAAACAGGTCCTCACCGTCGATTACTAATCTACAGAAAGTCATTCTATTGAAGGGAAATCAGAGTCTCACCTGTTGATACTAATCTACAGATAGTCATTCTATGATTAGGGTATCAGAGTCTCACTGTTGATTACTAATCTACAGATAGTCATCTATTGATTAGGGTATATCAGGTCCTCACCTGTATGATTACTAATTACAGATAAGTCATCTATGATTAGGAATCAGAGCTCACCTGTCTGATTACTAATTACAGATAAGCATCAGAGCAGAGTCCTCACTGACGGACCTGTCTGATTACTAATCTTGCCGCTGTCACATGGTACACAGTCAAAGCAGCACAGAGGCTCCCCACGACGGACAGCCTTCCTGGATCCTGGAGCACAACTGGCGCTGCACACGGAGACCACCACCTGAATACCACAGAGACAACGCTGATTAGGCTGGTTCACCATGAACCATGAACCAGTTTAATACATTTAGCATAAAATGTATCGTTGTCTTCATTAATACAATTTTTTTTACTTAACACTATGTGAGAGGGAGACATTGCAAGACCAACATGCATCTTACATTGGAATCACAGTATTTCATCAAATCCCAACCTATCCCATTCCCCCTACTTACCTCCACCTCACCCTACAGAACGTCAACAGTTGGCATCTGATGTGGTTAAATACACAGTGTGAGCAGCTTGCCTTGCTCTGATGCCCCGCCCACACTATCTTCTCTTCCTGGATCACCAACTCCTTCCCAGAGTCCTTTGCACCGTCGAACAGACCCACGTTGATGAACTCCATGTTCCCACCTGAGCCTCTCTGCCAGTTGATGATGTCATAGTAGGGGATGGAATCCCCTTTCAGGTCAAAGTTCACCTCCTCCCCAGAAATGGAAAAGGCAACTTCCTGTATATAGTGCTGCAGCTTTGAAAAAAAAAGAGATGTGATATATTTGCAGAGTGGTATGAAGCCCTATAGCTGGCAGTTACCATATGGATGTGCTAGAGAAGACAGATTTTGAACAGTTACTGTACATGAGCTGTTGTATACTTTTTTCAAACGGTCCAGATAGTTACTATACCTGTACCTGCCAGGGTTGTACGTTGTTGCTGTGAGCGCAGGTGTGGTTGTTGAAGGGTCCTGCCCTTGGCTGGCAGTGGAGGAGGTTTTTCAGGGAGTGGGCGATGGCGTACACAGCCTTGTACACATTATAGGCCACCCTGGGGCTGGACGTGTTCATGTAGGCTGAGTGTTGCTTCAGGAGAGTCTCCTGCCCTGAGCAGGGGGGCAGCAGGGGGCTGGAGGGGGACAGAGAGGGAGAGGGAGAGCAGCCGTACAGAGCCTCCCACAGCTGCTGCACCAGGGGGTTAGAGGGGTACCTCCCGGGGTTCACCGTCTGCAGGTAGTCCCTGAGCCCTGGGACTTGTCCCGTCCTTATCCCAAAGCCAATGGTGCCCCCCAGGTAGGGGAAGTACTCGCTGGTGGTGAAGAGAGAGGCGGTGACCCAGGCCTCGCTGGCCACCCACTGGATCCCTGTAATGTTCTGTGCCATGTAGTCCTTCAGGAAGGGAGTCATTTCCCCCTCAGCAGAGAACACCACCACTACCCTGGCTGTGGAGCTACGCATGACCTAGAGAGAAGAGAGAGAGGGAGACAGGGGAATAGAGAGAGGGGAGAAATGAGAAGATAATGGAGGGTAGAGGTGGGAGAGATGGAGGAAGAATAGAGGGGAGAGGAAGGAGAGAGAAGGAGACAGGGTGAGAGGGGAGTTAGAAGGGGAGAGAGAGAAGGAGACAGGGAGAGAGAGGAGTTAGAAGGGGAGAGAGAGAGTTAGAAGGGGAGAGAGAGGAGTTAGAAGGGGAGCGAGAGAGGAGACAGGGGAGAGGGGTGAGTTTTGACGGCGTTGGTTGAAGGATGTAGAGGGCGGGGAGCTTCAGAAGTGCCTTTGACCGATAGGAGACAGGGGATCAGTAGGTCGTTAGCGCGGAGGGAGAGAGGGCGGTGACCGTTAGCCGGTCGAGAGCGAGGTTTCGGGTACAGTGGGAGAGTGAGTGTTAGCCCGGGCGCGTGAGGTTTAGACAGGGTGCCCGGGAGTCCCCGTGAGAGGGCGTGCGTGGTTGCGTAGAGTAGGGGGATGGACGGGCCGGGTTGCGAGCATGAGTTGAGGGAGGGAGGCAGTTTTTTCCGGTCTAGGAGGGTGGGCTAGAGGAGGGAGGACAGGGTGGAGTCGAGTTAGAAGGGGAAGAGATGAGCGACAGGGGTAGAAGGAGTTAGACAGGGAGAGATAGTTGTATATAGGTTGTTAGAGACGATTTTGGAAAAACAGTCTCATCCGCTATGATAGCCCAGGAGTTATCAGGGGAAATTTTAGGGGTAAGAAGCATGAGGGGGGGTACTAAGGTTGTTTTGAATATGCAAGACACATTTCCGTCAGGGACAGAACAGTCCCTCTCCCGTCCTCTCTTCGTACCTCTATGATCTCCAGCGCCCTCTGCTGGTTATAGAGTAGAGGGATCATCTCCTGGTAGGCCACACACACCCCCGTCCCCTCCAGCTCCCTCAGCAGCCCCTGTAGGGCGAAGTGCCCATATTCATGGTCCCCACGTACCACCCCCACCCAGCGCCAGTCATACCGCACCAGCAGCTGAGCCATAGCCTTCACCTGGGATGGGAGAAAGGAGGATCAGTCAGAAACTAGGCCATAACAGACCAGGAAGTGAACATACGTTGCTTCACTCCATTTAGTTGACTGCAGGGAGATCCATTTGGCTCCCACTTCAGAAAAATACTTCTTGAAGAGTCTTGAGATTTATGAGATCATTGCCTAATCCTTTTTGATTTAATTCCAGGCTTTCACCTGGTAGTCATCGTTGGGGATCACTCTGAAGAAGGTGGGGTACTCCCTCCTGTCACTGAGGCACGCACACGACGAGAAGTAGCTGATCTGAGGAAAGACATGGTTAGTGACACACTCCTTCTTTCTATAGCGCTCATATGAAGAGTTTCATTCCAAAACGCTATATATACATTTTCAGAAATGTTGGTAAATTAGCTTTTATTGTTGAAAGAAATGATGAAAGAGATTGGTGTGTTTTTTCACTATCTAATCATGGCATGGGGTTGTTCAATGACACATGTATTTGTTTAAAATCTATCACTTGTTTTTTTTGCTAAATGCTATACATCCGCCTCACTCTCAGAGAAATAAGTAGGACTTCTATGTTGTAGACAGTCATGTATATAATCATAATAATAATAATAATAATAATAATAATAATAATAATGATAATAATAATTCAATACAGTAATATGAGATCTGTATGTAAAACATTTATATTTTACATTTGAGTCATTTAGCAGATGCGCTCTTATCCAGAGTGACTTACAGTAAGTGCATTTATCTTAAGATAGTTCAGTGAGACAATCACATATCACAGTTAAATAGACATGATATGTACATTCCATTCCAGCTAAACAATGGATATATAGCGTTTTTCGAATAAACACATTTTCTCAAATCTATGAAAAAAAAAATTTGAGAACAGTAATATTTTACACACACATGAAGGTACCCATAAGCAATCATTTCTGATTTAATGTGTGGATATAGCATTTTGGAAATGACCTTTTCATATACATATTTACACACAGAGAATCAGAAAGGTTATACAGTATCCCAAGTCTGTAGTTGATCGATAAGTCAAATAATACAAAATAAAATAAAAATCCTTAACATAGCTGAACTCTCAGTGGAGCCCTACCATGGGTATTTTAAAGGGCTGCAGGATTCTGGACACAACAATAGACTGAGCAGAACCCGATTCTCCAATGACGGCCAGGAGAGGAGAGGCACCAGAACACATGTGACTGTGCGCCTGGTCCAGTCCGTTCAACACAGCCAGTGCAGCCCTCTGCCCCGTCAGAGGATAGGCACACGAGTCAAAGATCTTGTAGCCCAGCGTGTGGTTGGGCAGCAGCTGCTCATTCTGGTTGATCTCCTCCACTGCCAGCCTCATGGTCTGAGCCCAGCGGAACGCCCTCGGGTCAAACCTGAATACACAGAGAGAGAGAGAGAGAGAGAGAGAGAGAGAGAGAGAGAGAGAGAGAGAGAGAGAGAGAGAGAGAGAGAGAGGAGAGAGAGAGAGAGAGAGAGAGAGAGAGAGAGAGAGAGAGAGAGAGAGAGAGAGAGAGAGAGAGTGACAAACAAAACAGAGTCATTAGTGAGAGAGTAAAGTAGACGGAGAGTGAGAGTAGGAGGAGGGGAGGAAGGATGAGGAGAGAGTGTTAGAAAAACAGAGAAAGTGACAATAAAAGGAGGGAAAAGAGAAAACTAGAAACTAGAAGAGGGAAAGATGGTTAAAGGTCAAATAGTCTATTACTGGTTAACACTGAAAACTCACCCGTTGCACCTGACTGCTGTTGGTCTGTAGGTGTAGTTGACGTCTGGCATCTCCTGGTTGTAGTGCAGGGGGAAAATACCCCCAATGACAAAGTCACCATCAGCCACGAACACAGGCTCAAAGTCACTCTGCAGAACACACTCTGTGTCTGGGGCTAGGGTGGAGGAGGGGGTGAGTGTGAGGGAGAGGGAAGAGACTGAGGCAGATAGAGACCACAAGAACAGCAGAGACATCCTCACTCACACCTATCCCCTCTAACAGTCAGAGAGAGGGAAGGAGAGCAGTTATATATATAGCCCTATCGTATGTCTGCATCTCATTACTGACAAGACAGGCCCTGGATTGGACATCTGTTAAGAAGGCCTATGACATCGTCACAAACAATGCAACCCCCCCCCCAAAGATGTTTGACTGACCAACGTTTGACAGATGTTTATGCTGTACCATAAAGTGGTATCTAGGCTAGAGATGAGGGTATGATTACAGTTTGTTTACCAACGCTACCACCTAGCATTAGTGTTATTGTGTTTACGTAAGACCTCTGGTAGCATGATTCAAATGCTGTAGCGTTTAATTATTTATTTGAAAATTTTCAGGATGAAAACTCTTTGAGATGCACCATTTTGTTTTTAAAGGACAAAAAAAGGAGAAACAAATGATGCTTAGTAACCAGAATAATATGACAAAAGGAAGGGGAAACAGTAAAATTACTAAATTAAAACAATAATTAAGATACTGCAAAAAACAATAACATCTATAATAACCACTGTCTAATGATAATGAAATAATCATTGTTAAAACAAAAACATAGCATGACTCTCTCTAGATACAGTAACCATAAAATTAGCTAATTTGGGTGAGCTATATCTTTGATCAGGAAAATGGTACAGTAATAAATCATAATTTCTAGCTTACCACATTCCACAAAAATGTCCCGAAGACACTATGAACATCTATTTCATTTATGGGTTTACGGTAGGTAAGTCAACTTAAAACTCTAACAATTAAAGGTGTCCTCATTGATCTATACATTTTTATTTCTTCCCCATGATATGTTGTTTAGTGTTCTTCTCTGGCTTCAGGAGGATGATGAAACACTTTGGAGCAAACAGACAGAACAGCAGCCCAAAGCTGGAGGCCAGGATGGCAAAGATCTCTACAGCTACTGTGTACTTCCCAGGAGAGCTGACGTAGGCTGGGATGAAGGAGATCCACACGGCACAGAAGATCAGCATGCTGAAGGTGATGAACTTGGCCTCGTTGAAGTTGCCCGGCAGTTTCCGGGCAAGAAATGCCAGGATGAAGCACAGACAGGCCAAGAGGCCGATGTATCCCAGAACACACCAGTAGGCCAGTTGAGAGCCCACACTGCACTCCAGAATAATCTTAGAGCGTTGGTCCTGGGTGTTTCTGGATGGGTAGGGAGGGGCAGCGATGAGCCAGGCAGCACAGATCAGCACCTGAACCAGGGTGCAGCAGAAGATGATGACCCTCTGCTGTTTGGGCCCCAGCCACTTCATGATGTTGTTCCCAGGCCTGGTGGAAGTGAAGACAGCCAGGACCACCAGAGTTTTGCCCAGGATGCAGGAGATGCAGAGGGAGAAGGTGATGCTGAAGGTGGTGTGGCGCAGCATGCAGGACCAGGAGGTGGGCTCCCCGATGAACATCAGCGCACACAGGAAGCACAGAGTCAGGGAGAAAAGGATAGAGAAACTCAGCTCAGAGTTGTTGACGCGGACAATGGGAGTGGTCCTGTGATGGAGGAAGACCGCCAGGACGGACACGGTCAGACAGGCGCCCACTACAGCGATCACCGTCAGGGCTATCCCCATTGCATCATGGGAAAGGAACTCCACCCCTTTGGGGATGCACAATGTTCCATCAGCGTTTGACCAGTAGTCCTCGGGACATTCTGTGCAGTCTATAGAATCTACACAGAAAAACAGAGAGAAAGAGATTAGGAATTTATCAATGATGGGTATGTGATATAATAATAAAAATAATATGCCATTTAGCAGACGCTTTTATCCAAAGCGACTTACAGTCATGCGTGCATACATTTTTTTTTTGTGTATGGGTGGTCCCGGGGATCGAACCCACTACCTTGGCGTTATAAGCGCCGTGCTCTACCAGCTGAGCTACAGAGGACCACAGATGCAGTCGTGATATCCTACACATAAGTGACATTTGGTGGCAGAAGTGGAACTGGTGGGCAGAGGTTAACCCTTAAAATTCCAACAAGGGTCAATTGTCATAATTTCTAAACTCTTTTATTTTATCCTTCTGAAATTTCAGGACTTTGTCAAGCAACTAGTTACTTATTAGATTTCTGTGTTAGTATGTAAGAATGACAAATTATCTCTCTGTATACCAGTGGTGCGTGGCTAAGCTGAAAATGTGAACTAAAAAGTTAAACCTTGAAAAAATACATATTTACAATAGCTTCCAGTCAGTGTCTCTATACCAAGTCCAGAGTCTCATCTTTCAGATGCAATTGGAATGGAGTTGATAGCCCATAGCATTCCAAAGTTAGAGCTAAAAATCTGATGGCACCGGTGCTCAAATCGCCTATATCGCCCATATCAGTGGCCATCTTAAGTCGTACCGGTATGTCAGATTAGCTCAATCGGCAATTTCTCAGCCTCTGAGTATTACAGAACATTTTGAATGAATAACAGACAAATGTTCATAACAAGTGGCAATGGATGATATATATCAAATGTAAGCACACACAATCTACATGTTAACGTTTTTCAATGTAAATTGTAAAGTATTTTGTCTTTTTTTGTTATATGTCGGACCCCCAGTAAGACTAGCTGTCACCATGGGAATCCTAATAAATCAAATCAAATCAAATTAAAATATCTGTCCAAAACATAAAAAAATACCAAAACTTTTATTTTGAAAAGATGGGTAAAAATTTATAAATATACAGTTCCAGTCAAAAGTTTGGACACACCTACTCATTCAAGGGTTTATTCTTCATTTTGACTATCTTCTACATTGTAGAAATTTAGTGAAGACATCAAAACTATGAAAAAAAACATATGGAATTATGTGGTAACCAAAAAAGTGATAAACAAATTCTTCAAATAGCCACCCTTTGCCTTGATGACAGCTTTGCACACTCTTGGCATTCTCTTAACCAGCTTCATGAGGTAGTCACCTGGAATGCATTTCAATTAACAGGTGTGCCTTCTTAATGCGTTTGAGCCAATCAGTTGTGTTGTGACAAGGTAGTGGGGGAATGGAACACCCAGATTTACCTCTGCTGCAGAGGATAAGTTCATTAGAGTTACCAGCCTCAGAAATTGTAGCCAAAATAAATGCTTCACAGAGTTCAAGTAACAGACACATCTCAACATCAACTGTTCAGAGGAGACTGTGTGAATCATGCCTTCATGGTCGAATTGCTGCAAAGAAACCACTACTAAAGGACACCAATAATAAGAAGAGACTTGCTTGGGCCAAGAAACACGAGCAATGGATATTAGACTGGTGGAAATGTGTCCTTTGGTCTGGAGTCCAAATTTGAGATTTTTGGTTCCAACCGCCTTGTCTTTGTGAGACGCGGTGTGGGTGAACGGATGATCGCTGCATGTGTATTTCCCACCGTAAATCATGGAGGAGGAGGTGTTATGGTGTGGGGGTGCTTTGCTGGTGACACTATCAGTGATTTATTTAGAATTCAAGGCACACTTAACCAGCATGGCTACCATAGCATTCTGCAGTGATACGCCATCCCATCTGGTTTGGGTTTAGTGGGACTTTCATTTGTTTTTCAACAGGACAATGACCCAACACACCTCCAGACTGTGTAAGGGCTATTTTACCAAGAAGGAGAGTAATGGAATGCTGCATCAGATGACTTGGCCTCCACAATCACCTGACCTCAACCCAATTGAGATGGTTTGGGATGAGTCGGACCGCAGAGTGAAGGAAAAGCAGCCAACAAGTGCTCAACATATATGGGAACTCCTTCAAGACTGTTGGAAAAGCATTCCAGGTGAAGCTGGTTGAGAGAATGCCAAGAGTGTGCAAAGCTGTCATCAAGGCAAAGGGTAGCTATTTGAAGAATCTCAAATATAAAATATATTTGTATTTGTTTAACACTTTTTTGGTTACTACATGATTCCATATGTGTTATTTCATAGTTTTGATGTCTTCACTATTATTCTACAATGTAGAAAATAGTAAAATTAAAGAAAAACCCTTGTATGAGTAGGTGTGTCCAAACTTTTGACTGGTAGTGTAAGCTTATTTTAGATAATTGAAACAATTTTCTTGTGTTGCAAATAGTTAGTAAAATAAAAAGATGAGCATAGTGCACTCAACTGTGTCTAGGGTAGAGAGTCAGAGTCCTCACCAAATCAGAGTCCTCACCTGTCTGATTACTAATCTACAGATAAGTCATTCTATTGATTAGGGTATATCAGAGTCCTCACCTGTCTGATTACTAATCTACAGATAAGTCATTCTATTGATTAGGGAATATCAGAGTCCTCACCTGTCTGATTACTAATCTACAGATAAGTCATTCTATTGATTAGGGAATATCAGAGTCCTCACCTGTCTGATTACTAATCTACAGATAAGTCATTCTATTGATTAGGGTAAATCAGAGTCCTCACCTGTCTGATTACTAATCTACAGATAAGTCATTCTATTGATTAGGGTAAATCAGAGTCCTCACCTGTCTGATTACTAATCTACAGATAAGTCATTCTATTGATTAGGGAATATCAGAGTCCTCACCTGTCTGATTACTAATCTACAGATAAGTCATTCTATTGATTAGGGTATATCAGAGTCCTCACCTGTCTGATTACTAATCTACAGATAAGTCATTCTATTGATTAGGGAATATCAGAGTCCTCACCTGTCTGATTACTAATCTACAGATAAGTCATTCTATTGATTAGGGTAAATCAGAGTCCTCACCTGTCTGATTACTAATCTACAGATAAGTCATTCTATTGATTAGGGAATATCAGAGTCCTCACCTGTCTGATTACTAATCTACAGATAAGTCATTCTATTGATTAGGGAATATCAGAGTCCTCACCTGTCTGATTACTAATCTACAGATAAGTCATTCTATTGACTAGGGAATATCAGAGTCCTCACCTGTCTGATTACTAATCTACAGATAAGTCATTCTATTGACTAGGGAATATCAGAGTCCTCACCTGTCTGATTACTAATCTACAGATAAGTCATTCTATTGACTAGGGAATATCAGAGTCCTCACCTGTCTGATTACTAATCTACAGATAAGTCATTCTATTGATTAGGGAATATCAGAGTCCTCACCTGTCTGATTACTAATCTACAGATAAGTCATTCTATTGATTAGGGAATATCAGAGTCCTCACCTGTCTGATTACTAATCTACAGATAAGTCATTCTATTGATTAGGGAATATCAGAGTCCTCACCTGTCTGATTACTAATCTACAGATAAGTCATTCTATTGATTAGGGTAAATCAGAGTCCTCACCTGTCTGATTACTAATCTACAGATAAGTCATTCTATTGATTAGGGAATATCAGAGTCCTCACCTGTCTGATTACTAATCTACAGATAAGTCATTCTATTGACTAGGGTATATCAGAGTCCTCACCTGTCTGATTACTAATCTACAGATAAGTCATTCTATTGATTAGGGAATATCAGAGTCCTCACCTGTCTGATTACTAATCTACAGATAAGTCATTCTATTGACTAGGGTATATCAGAGTCCTCACCTGTCTGATTACTAATCTACAGATAAGTCATTCTATTGATTAGGGAATATCAGAGTCCTCACCTGTCTGATTACTAATCTACAGATAAGTCATTCTATTGACTAGGGTATATCAGAGTCCTCACCTGTCTGATTACTAATCTACAGATAAGTCATTCTATTGATTAGGGAATATCAGAGTCCTCACCTGTCTGATTACTAATCTACAGATAAGTCATTCTATTGATTAGGGAATATCAGAGTCCTCACCTGTCTGATTACTAATCTACAGATAAGTCATTCTATTGATTAGGGAATATCAGAGTCCTCACCTGTCTGATTACTAATCTACAGATAAGTCATTCTATTGATTAGGGTAAATCAGAGTCCTCACCTGTCTGATTACTAATCTACAGATAAGTCATTCTATTGATTAGGGAATATCAGAGTCCTCACCTGTCTGATTACTAATCTACAGATAAGTCATTCTATTGACTAGGGTATATCAGAGTCCTCACCTGTCTGATTACTAATCTACAGATAAGTCATTCTATTGATTAGGGAATATCAGAGTCCTCACCTGTCTGATTACTAATCTACAGATAAGTCATTCTATTGACTAGGGTATATCAGAGTCCTCACCTGTCTGATTACTAATCTACAGATAAGTCATTCTATTGACTAGGGAATATCAGAGTCCTCACCTGTCTGATTACTAATCTACAGATAAGTCATTCTATTGATTAGGGAATATCAGAGTCCTCACCTGTCTGATTACTAATCTACAGATAAGTCATTCTATTGATTAGGGAATATCAGAGTCCTCACCTGTCTGATTACTAATCTACAGATAAGTCATTCTGTTGATTAGGGAATATCAGAGTCCTCACCTGTCTGATTACTAATCTACAGATAAGTCATTCTATTGATTAGGGTAAATCAGAGTCCTCACCTGTCTGATTACTAATCTACAGATAAGTCATTCTATTGATTAGGGAATATCAGAGTCCTCACCTGTCTGATTACTAATCTACAGATAAGTCATTCTATTGACTAGGGTATATCAGAGTCCTCACCTGTCTGATTACTAATCTACAGATAAGTCATTCTATTGATTAGGGAATATCAGAGTCCTCACCTGTCTGATTACTAATCTACAGATAAGTCATTCTATTGACTAGGGTATATCAGAGTCCTCACCTGTCTGATTACTAATCTACAGATAAGTCATTCTATTGATTAGGGAATATCAGAGTCCTCACCTGTCTGATTACTAATCTACAGATAAGTCATTCTATTGACTAGGGTATATCAGAGTCCTCACCTGTCTGATTACTAATCTACAGATAAGTCATTCTATTGATTAGGGAATATCAGAGTCCTCACCTGTCTGATTACTAATCTACAGATAAGTCATTCTATTGATTAGGGTATATCAGAGTCCTCACCTGTCTGATTACTAATCTACAGATAAGTCATTCTATTGATTAGGGAATATCAGAGTCCTCACCTGTCTGATTACTAATCTACAGATAAGTCATTCTATTGATTAGGGAATATCAGAGTCCTCACCTGTCTGATTACTAATCTTGCCGCTGTCACATGGTACACAGTCAAAGCAGCACAGAGGCTCCCCACGACGGACAGCCTTCCTGGATCCTGGAGCACAGCTGGCACTGCACACGGAGACCACCACCTGAATACAACAAAGACCAATATTTTCCTGCTACCTCAATACTCATAGTCCCTCCTATAGTTCAGTTGGTAGAGCATGGCGCTTGCAACGCCAAGGGTTGTGGGTTCGATTCCCACAGGGGGGGCAGTATGAAAAATGTATGCACTCACTAACTGTAAGTCGCTCTGGATAAGAGCGTCTGCTAAATGACTAAAATTTAAAATGTAATATTATACCAGCCACTAGAGGGCACTCAATATGAGATAATTTGAGAAATCTCCCTGACAGTGCATGGTCAGAGAATAACAAAGGAGAATCAAGCATTGGAACGCATAAACTGGGTTACCTGCAATACAAGCTTTGGAGAAACAAAAATATTTCAGGACAAATAAACCTGTTTAAAAAAAACTATAATAATGAGTTTACATTCACCATGCAGAGGCACTTACATAAAGGTCTCTCTACAGAACGTCAACAGTTGGCATCTGATGTGGTTAAATACACAGTGTGAGCAGCTTGCCTTGCTCTGATGCCTCGCCCACACTATCTTCTCTTCCTGGATTGCCAGCTCCTTCCCAGAATCCTTTGCGCCATCGTACAGCCCCACTGTGACAAAGCGGGGACCTCCGTTTGGCTCCCTCTGCCAGTTGATGAGGTCATAGGACGGGATGGCGTCCCCTTTCTGGTCAAAGTTAATATTTTCTCCTGATACAGTGAAGGACACGTCCTGGAGATATTGCTGGAGCTATGATAAGAGGAAAATAATTGTCTCATTCTTTAACAAATTACATTTGTTGACACACCTAAATCTTTTAAACATTCATCTGTTTAGTTATTTGCATAATTATATGCTTTTTTTCCCCCACTTTAATTAATTGACACATACCTGCCAGGGGTGTACGTTGTTGCTGTGAGCGCAGGTGTGGTTGTTGAAGGGTCCTGCCCTTGGCTGGCAGTGGAGGAGGTTGTTCAGGGAGTGGGCGATGGCGTACACAGCCTTGTACACGTTATAGGCCACTCTGGGGCTGGACGTGTTCATGTAGGCTGAGTGTTGCTTCAGGAGAGTCTCCTGCCCTGAGCAGGGGGGCAGCAGGGGGCTGGAGGGGGACAGAGAGGGAGAGGGAGAGCAGCCGTACAGAGCCTCCCACAGCTGCTGCACCAGGGGGTTAGAGGGGTACCTCCCGGGGTTCACCGTCTGCAGGTAGTCCCTGAGCCCTGGGACTTTCCCTGAGCGGATGGCGAAGCCAATAGTCCCATCCAGGAATGGATAAGTCTCTGCCAGCACATTGGCAGTGACCCAGGCCTCGCTGGCCACCCACTGGGTACCAGTGATGTTCTGCTTGACAAACTCCTTGAGGAAAGGGTATAACTCTCCCTCCCCAGAGAAGACTATCACCACACGCGCTGTGGAGCGCCTCATCACCTCCAGGATCTGCAGGACCCTCTCTCTGCTGTAGTCTTTAGGGATCATCTCATCGTAGGCCAGACACACATCTGTGTTCTGGATCTCCCTCTTCAGGCCCTGCAGGGCGAAGTGGCCGTAGTCGTGATCCTCCCGGACCACACCGATCCACTTCCAGCCGAAACGCTGGAGGAGCCTGGCGATGGCCTTCACCTGGTAGTCGTCATTTGGAACCACTCTGAAAAACGTTGGGTATTCTTTCCTGTTGCTCAGGCATGAGCAGGTGGAGAAATAGCTGATCTGAAAGAAAATATAACACCTATTTTAAGCAAATGTTAGTTACACTTTATTTCAAGGTGTGCATGTAAACCACTTATATACCATTATTACAAAATGTAAAATACATGAATATATACAGTGCCAGTCAAAAGTTTGGACACACCTACTCATTCCAGGGTTTTTCTTTATTTGTACTATTTTCTACATTGTAGAATAATAGTGAAGACATCAAAACTATGAAATAACACATATGGGATCATGTAGTTACCAAGTGTTAAACAAATCCAAATATATTTTCTATTTTTCAAAGTAGCCACTCTTTGCCTTGATGACAGCTTTGCACACTTTTGTCATTCTCTCAACCAGCTTCACCTGGAATGCTTTTCCAACAGTCTTGAAGGAGTTCCCACATATGCTGAGCACTTGTTGGCTGCTTTTCCTTCACTCTGCGGTCCGACTCATCCCAAACCATCTCAATTGGGTTGAGGTCGGAGGATTGTGGAGGCCAGGTCATCTGATGCAGCACTCCATCACTCTCCTTCTTGGTAAAATAGCCCTTACACAGCCTGGAGGTGTGTTGGGTCATTTTCCTGTTGAAAAACAAATGAAAGTCCCACTAAACCCAAACCAGATGGGATGGCGTATTGCTGCAGAATGCTATGGTAGCCATGCTGGTTAAGTGTGCCTTGAATTCTAAATAAATCACAGACAGTGTCACCAGCAAAGCACCCCCACACCATAACACCTCCATGCTTTACGGTGGGAAATACACATGCGGAGATCATCCATTCACCCACACCGTGTCTCACAAGACACGGCGGTTGGAACCAAAAATCTCAAATTTGGACTCCAGACCAAAGGACACATTTCCACCAGGCTAATGTCCATTGCTCGTGTTTCTTGGCCCAAGCAAGTCTCTTCTTCGTATTGGTGTCCTTTAGTAGTGGTTTCTTTGCAGCAATTTGACCATGAAGGCCTGATTCACACAGTCTCCTCTGAACAGTTGATGTTGAGATGTCTCTGTTACTTAAATTCTGTGAAGCATTTATTTGGTCTGCAATTTCTGAGGCTGGTAACTCTAATGAACTTATCCTCTGCAGCAGAGGTAACTCTGGGTCTTCCATTCCTGTGGCGGTCCTCATGAGAGCCAGTTTCATCATAGCGCTTGATGGTATTTGCGTGCACTTGAAGAAACTTTGAAAGTGTTTGAAATGTTCCTGATTGACTGACTTTCATGTCTTAAAGTATTGATGGACTGTTGTTTCTCTTTGCTTATTTGAGCTGTTCTTGCCATAATATGGACTTGGTATTTTACCAAATAGGTCTATCTTCTGTATACCCCACCTACCTTGTCACAACACAACTGATTGGCTCAAATGCATTAAGAAGGAAATAAATTCCACAAATTAACTTTTAAGAAGGCACACCTGTTAATTGAAATGCATTCCAGGTGACTACCTCATGAAGCTGGTTGAGAGAATGCCAAGAGTGTACAAAGCTGTCTTCAAGGCAAAGGGTGGCTATTTGAAGAATCTCAAATATGAAATATATTTTGATTTATTTAACACTTTTTTGGTTGCTAAATGATTCCATATGTGTTATTTCATAGTTTTGATGTTTTCACTATTATACTACAGTGTAAAAATAAAGAAAAACCCTTGAATGAGTAGGTGTGTCCAAACTTTTGACTGGTAGTATATACAAATAATGTATTATTTATGAGAGGGCTAATCATATTTACAGTAGTCATAAACAAAAGACAACATATTTAGTTGCTGAATTCAGTATTTAACAAACTATGTAATTATAGTTACAAGTTGTTAATAAGCACTTTTAAATATGTGTTCAGAGTCACAGACACACCTCCCTTTTGAATAGTAGATTAGCTATTTACACTAAAATAATTCAACAGTTTTGAATTAGAAAACGGATCCACAGCTTCTGAATTTTATTTTATTCTAGTTCCCCTTATTTCAGCAGTGGATCTTAACTTAAAAACAATAAATGCCTTTTCATCTGCTCCAGTGGTGTAGTGGCATTTTCTGAGGTACCGGAGCCCACATCTAAGGAAATGAAGTCATCATTTCTCAATCAAAGTTTGTACCGACAGATGTAGACTATTGAATATTATTTTTAGAATATGCATAAAATGCATCCTCCAAATGCAATGTCTGTTCACACCCACACATATTGTCTCAATAAATTGTTCTGTTTTTAATACCATCAAACACCAAATTAGACATGCCTAATTTTAAAATAGGCCATCTGTCAATCGTAAATAATGATTATTCTCGTTTTCCCGGTGAAATGCATCTCCAGCCAATCATTTGAGCTTAATCAGTTTCATGGGAATATGCATTTAGATCTTCTTGAATGATGTAGGCCTAACTATGGTTTCTTGAGCGAATGGGAGCAGATGGTGGTAACAAATAGCATAGGCTTATTGTACCTGGATTTTGTTTCAATCAAAGCACATATTTTGCCACTCAATGTTGAGTTTTGGCCGCATGAGAAAGAAAAATGTGACCACTCAGCTTATCATCCTAAAATCTCATGAGAAATGAAGTCGTGTTTTTTGATCTAACAGTCATGTTATACTACGCTATTCAGTTCTGTTATATAGAATACTAATAGAACATTACTTTAATTTTCAGACGTCGATTCAGATTTGATCTAACTGTGGTAAACAGGCACCACTGTGAGAAGTGGCAGAGCAATGCTCCGGTGCACTCTGGCAGCATTACAACCCTGATCTGCACCCTGCAAAAACATCTCCTCAAAACATTGTCACTTACCATGGGGATTCTGAAGGGCTGCAGAGTTCTGGACAAAACGATGGACTGTGAGGAGCCAGACTCCCCTACCATGGCTATTAACGGGCTGGCACCGGAACACATAGGGCTCTGTTCTTCACCCTGTCCGTTCAGCACCGCCAGGACTGCTCTCAGAGCCGTGACTGGCGTGGCACACGAGTCAAAGATCTTATAGCCCAGCGTGTGGTTGGGCAGCAGCTGCTCATTCTGGTTGATCTCCTCCACTGCCAGCCTCATGGTCTGAGCCCAGCGGAACGCCCTCGGGTCAAACCTGAATACACACACAGAGAGAGAGAGAGAGAGAGAGAGAGAGAGAGAGAGAGAGAGAGAGAGAGAGAGAGAGAGAGAGAGAGAGAGAGAGAGAGAGAGAGAGAGAGAGAGAGAGAGAGAGAGAGAGAGAGAGAGAGAGAGAGAGAGAGAGAGAGAATGTATCCCCGTTCCACTTCCACTGGTGGTCAGCCTGGTCTGAACAATACAACTAGACAGAGAAATATGACCTCAATGAATGTGGCAACAATCCCAGCACAGGACACGGTGTTAAGGGATTAGGAGGAAAACACAGAAAAGGAGAGAAGAGGAAAAGCCATTAGACTAGAGTTCACAGTAGGGGTCAAAGGCCCCCAATGGGACGTGACAATCAGAACCTATCCACTACATACTCTTGTTTTCTACAGTAGGACTTGAGCCACACATCCATGCCCCCTGTGACTCGGCTTACCCTTCACACTGTGCTGCCAGGGGCTGGTGGGTGTAGTCCGTCCCAGGCAGCTCCACCCGATAGTGAAGGGGAAAGATCCCCCCCATCATGAAGTCACCCTGGGCTGAAAACCCAGGCAGCTCAAAGGCCCCCTGCGGGGAGCAGGCAGGCTGGGTAGAGGTGGCTTCTGTCAGAGGGGAAATAGAGACGGGGCAGTACAGGGACCACCACAGAAGAAGAGACATCCTCAGACTGGTCCGATAGATGCAGAGAGATCCTCCTGTTCATAGACAAGCTGATATCCTCCCACACAGACTGGTCCAGTATAGACGGACTGTTCAGGTTGTTCAGTTTTATACTCCTTGGTCTCGTCATCATTTCATCTGGTTTAATTTGGTATCTCCCTGGATTTCACGTGATCCTCACCCCTCCCTCCCAAACACTCACAGTGGCTTGGAGAAGCACACTGGGACTTTTATGGTAGACAATATGTGTGATAGGTAATAAGAATCCCACTCAATATAACACACTTCACATTGTGTTTTAAGTGATTGTAATTTGTTTCATGATATTTTAGTAGGATGCCTATACAAAGGTATTTTGAATCCCTTTCCTGCATTCGAATGACCAAATCGCCCTTTAGTGGCCTCATGGGTGGAATGTTAGTAATATTCTTCCTAATTTCCTAATTAATAAACATTATATATTTTAAAATAATAATCTGGTGTTTCCATGTCGAGCGGTTTTGTTATATTTCAGTCTTCTGTGATGTACAGTACCAGTCAAAAGTTTAGACACACCTACTCATTCCAGGGTTTTTCTTTATTTTTACTATTTTCTACATTTTGTAGAATAATAGTGAAGACATCAAAACTATGAAATAACACATATGGAATCATGTAGTGACCAAAAAAGTGTTAAACAAATCAAAACTAATTTTAGATTTTAGATTCTTTAAAGTAGCCACTCTTTGCCTTGATGACAGCTTTGCACACTCTTTGCATTCTCTTAACCAGCTTCACCTGGAATGCTTTTCCAACAGTCTTGAAGGAGTTCACACATATGCTGAGCACTTGTTGGCTGCTTTACCTTCACTCTGCGGTCCAACTCATCCCAAACCATCTCACTTGGGTTGAGGTCGGGTGATTGTGGAGGCCAGGTCATCTGATGCAGCACTCCATCACGCTCCTTATTGGTCAAATAGCCCTTACACAGCCTGGAGGTGTGTTGGGTCATTGTCTTGTTGAAAAACAAATGATAGTCCCACTAAGCGCAAACCAGATGGGATGGCGTATCGCTGCAGAATGCTGTGGTAGCCATTCTGGTTAAGTGTGCCTTCAATTCTAAATTAACCACCAACAGTGTCACCAGCAAAGCACCATCACACCTCCTCCTCCATGCTTCGTGGTGGGAACCACACATGCAGAGATCATCCATTCACCTACTCTGTGTCTCACAAAGACACGGCGGTTGGAACCAAAACTCTCAAATTTGGACTCATCAGACCAAAGGACAGATTTCCACCGGTCTAATGTCCATTGCTCGTGTTTCTTGGCCCAAGCAAGTCTCTTCTTCGTATTGGTGTCCTTTAGTAGTGGTTTCTTTGCAGCAATTCGATCATGAAGGCCTGATTCACGCAGTCTCCTCTGAACAGTTGATGTTTAGATGTGTCTGTTACATGTTAATTGAAATGCATTCCAGGTGACTACCTCATGAAGCTGGTTGAGAGAATGCCAAGAGTGTGCAAAGCTGTCATCAAGGCAAAGGGTGGCTACTTTGAAGAATCTCAAAAAAATGTTGGTTACTACATGATTCCATATGTGTTATTTCATAGTTTTGATGTCTTCACTATTATTCTACAATGTAGAAAATAGTAAAAATAAAGAAATACCCTTGAATGAGTAAAAGTGTCCAAACTTTTGACTGGTACTGTATATAAATAATGTGTGATTTTGGGATGCAAACTCAAAATGTAATACATTTCAACTCTATATCTGACATGGTACAGATGTCTTCTTTTTTTTAAATGACCATAACCATGTGTGTAAGGTGTATATTTTTGTTTCAAAGTAGATTTGTTTAAGACTACCAATGCACATTTGTAAGCATGGCTGTATTCATGTCCTCTTATCTTTCATTGATGGACTGATAGAAATTGTGGTGACATCACACACAGACGATTCAACACAGCTTTGTTCTAATGCAGTGCATATGCTGACACCTACTGTTGAGCAGGAAATCTGGTACGTAAATGTCTGAAATCCACTTTGATTATGGGGTGAATGATCCCTTTAAAGCTAGATTCCTTTGTTGCTACATCTATTTTTGGAATTAAATTAATGATATATACCCATTGATTCTAGAAGAACATAACTTATAAATGCCTCATGAGCTTATTTCAACTGTCGTACCCCATCAGAACACAAAATATAAACACATTTTACTCCAATGTTTGTAAATAATGTACATGGAAACAAACACTGTATAGCCAAACAATATGGTTAAAACTATAATGTTAATATCATGGATGGTCAGTCCTTGCATCCATAGCTCTGTCTATGAATTTGAGAGTGGTTACATTTGACCAACACAGAGGTGGGGTAGGGGCTTTGTTATTGTTACAACTACGGATTCTATCTTTAAGATCCACTCATTAGAGAACGCACTGCAATAAAAAAAAAAAAAAAAGTAGGACTTTGTATGCAGTGATGTCATCACAACCAGGTTTCCGGGGCCTATATAGGGAGCAAGCCTCCTACCCCACAGCCACACAAGTGGACTGGAAGCCCTGACTGATCTCACATCATACATCCACTCTCTGCCTGCCATGGCACACCTCTCTGCAAGACTCCTGCTGCTGGGGCTTCTCCTGTGGACCACCAGGGTTCGCTCTGCCACAGCCCAGGAAGGGTGCACTTTCCTGGGGGAAGAGGAGATGAGCAGCTTCTATCAGGAGGGAGATGTGGTTCTTGGGGGCTTGTTCCCTCTCCACTATAGTCCTGTGTCCTCTGTGACATCATTTCAGTGGGAACCGCAACAGACTACATATGAATAGTAAGTGATGAGAAATGAAGAATGTTTTCTGTCTGTCTGTCTCTTTCTCTCTCCACGTGCATTGATTCTAAGCCACTTGCTATCCTCTTCCCTGCAGTTTCAGTTCCAGGGCCCTGCGCTGGATGCAGACCATGATGTTTGCAGTGAGAGAGATCAACCAACGAAAGGACCTGCTCCCACACCTGACACTGGGGTTCCACATCCGGGACAGCTGTGACCACGTGCCTGTGTCCCTGAGAGGCTCTCTGCTGCTGGTCAACGGGCAGCCCGACAGGGGAGCAGGCTCCAGGGGTGCAGGTCAGGGTCCAGGCTCGGACTGTGCTGCTGTACGCAGGGCCGAGTCCCCTGTTATCATAGGAGACGCCGCCTCTGGGGTGTCTATGGCTGTGCTCAGAACTCTGGGCTCCTTTCACATACCCCTGGTGAGACTACCTGTGGCCTACCTAGGGTTACGTACATTGTGCTTTTATCATTGTGTAATCATCTTCTTATAGTTGATAAATGGCTTTTGATGGAGGTAGGGCCTTGGTAAAAGTAAGACTCATAATAGTAGCCGAAATGGAAATACCCTTAAAATATAGACGGCTTGACGCTACTACATTTACATTTCAGATTCTTACTGTAAATACTGTTACTTTGACAGGAGGCATACTATTTCATAACTTAAGACTACATTCGAAATTCTATACATTTTGTCATGGAATTGCTTTCCTTGACTGCTATATGAAAATGAAGGGCTATATGCAATGCTTGAGTACATCTTACGGAGTGGACCTTTAACCTGCTGTTCTCTCTGCTTTGGACTGGCTTGTAGATCATAATACACAGATAAGGGATCTTTTAATTTGATCACTCTTTTGTTGCTGAGAATTGTCCTGCAGCGTAGGAAGTACAGATGAGCTTTGTGATTTACATAAATTCACTGAAAACCCACGTTAACACACGGTTATATTAACAGTGTTGCACTTTTCATGTGGGCTAATTTGGGACATCTAATAGCCTGACTGCAGATCAAGCAACATTATGGACTAAACGTTGAAATCCTGTTGCTGCAGGATTCTTTTGCTGTGACAATACTAGTCAAATTAAGATCCCACATCTGTACTGTATTTTTACTTTGGCAGGAAACATGTTATTTCATATCTTCAAATGTTTATTTTTTATTTTTATCATGACATTGAGTACAGATATATCGTAAATATTAAAAGCTCTATGCAATGCTTGAGGACATCTTGCAGAGTGAACTTTGAACCTGCTGTTCCCTCTTCTTTCAGGTGAGCTACTTTGCGTCCTGCAGCTGTCTGAGTGACCAGAAGCAGTTCCCTACGTTCATGCGCACCATGCCCAGTGATGCCTTTCAGATACGCGCCCTAGCTCGCCTGGTACGCTACTTCCACTGGACCTGGGTGGGCGTCATCGGCGTGGAGTCTGACTATGCCCGCTTTGCCATCCAGTTGTTTCTACAGGAGTCCGTCCAGTATGGTGTGTGTGCTGCCTACGTCCACTTCTACCCAGTGGTCCTTACCCAGCAGGCTGTGGGGCGGCTGGTGGACACTATCCAGGTGAGTAAAGAAATAAAACTTAGGAGGTCTTAAAAGTACATGATTATACATTTTTGTTATTATTGTCATTGTTACCCAGGGCTCATCCTCCCGAGTCCTCCTGAATTTCTCTGGTGAGTCGGAGCTTCGGAGTATCCTCAGGGAGTGTCTGCAGCGGAATGTCACAGGGCTGCAGCTGATTGCCAGCGAGGCCTGGGCCACCTCCAAGTCCCTGTGGGGAGAGTTCGGAGATCTCCTGACGGGAACGCTGGGATTTGGGATACGGAAGGCTGATGTTATTCCCGGGCTCAAAGACTTTCTGACCAGACTAGGACCGTCCCACGGACGTCAGTCGGCTTTCCTGGCAGAGTTCTGGGAAGAGACGTTCAACTGTAGAGTGAACGGATCCTTAAACACCCACTCTCACTCTGCCAGTTACCTGGACAGAGAGCCCTGTAGCGGAAGAGAGGTCCTGGGGGATGTGTACACACCCTATGCTGATGTGAGCCAGCTCAGAGTGTCCTATAACGTGTACAAGGCTGTGTATCTCATCGCCCACGCCCTGCAGCATATGACCAACTGTGTGGCTGGCCAGGGGCCTTTTATCAATGGCACCTGTGGGGACCCAATGCATGTTAAACCGTGGCAAGTGAGTCTATAGCTGAAGATACTCTGCTCAGTGTTGCTGAATAGATATCAATGCCTGTTTCTCATTCACACGCATGCAGATACACAAAACACACACCAGTAGGTGGAGTAGAGTGTATCGTTTCTTGTCTCACCCTCTCCACTCCTCTCTCCCCAGCTACTACATTACATGAAGCAGGCGAAGTTTTCCACACTCGGGGAGGAGGTCAGCTTTGACCACAACGGTGACCCCATCGCTTCCTATGACCTCATGAACTGGCAGAGGGGGCATGATGGCTCCCTGCGATTAGTCAAAGTGGGGTTCTATGACGCCTCATTGGCCGATGGCCTAGAACTGGTCATAAATGACTCAGCGATTCAGTGGCCTGTGGGAAAGCAGGTGTGGCCTATATCACAGTCTAGGTGCTTGGTTCTACGTTTACTTCTCAGTCTGTTCTTTGTTGTCTTCTTAACGTCACTGGAGAATATCAAGTTGGCATTTTATAAACTACATTTGGCTAGTTTGAAAAGCGTTCTGAAACACTTTCCCTGCACACCCCTTATTACATGCAATCAGTATATCTGAGTGGTGCCACTGCCTCTGCCCCCCAGGCAACTCGCTCAGTGTGCAGTGACAGCTGTCCCCCAGGCACCCGTGTAGCCAGGAAGAAGGGGGAGCCTGTCTGCTGCTTCGACTGCATCCCCTGTGCTGAGGGGGAGGTCAGCAATCAAACTGGTGTGTTTTCCCTCATATCCCTCCTTTCTCACCAGTCATTGGTCAGAACTAAAGAACAGTGTTGCCATTCCCTATTTTCTCTCTCCTCTCTGTCAGATTCTTTAAACTGCATACGCTGCTCTGACGTCACATGGCCAGACGAGGCCAGAGACCGCTGTGTTCCAAAGACCATAGAGTTCCTGTCCTATCAGGAGTCCATGGGTATCGTCCTGAGTGTGGTATCCATTCTTGGGGCCGGTGCCTCACTCACTGTCTTGGCAGTGTTCGTTGCCAACCGACACACTCCCATCGTCCGCGGCAACAACATGGAGCTGAGCTTCCTTCTCCTCCTCTTCCTTTCCGTCTGCTTCCTGATTGGCTTGTTGTTCATCGGGGAGCCGTCTGATTGGCTGTGCCGGATCCGATACCCAGCGTTCGGGGTGAGCTTTGCCCTCTGCATCTCCTGCCTCCTGGCCAAGACCATGGTGGTCCTCATGGCCTTCAGGGCCACCCTGCCACGAAATGATGTCATGAAGTGGTTCGGCCCTGCCCAGCAGAGAGCCAGTGTTGTGTTGTGCACCGCCGTCCAGGTACAAATCTGATCTTGTTGCTTTTGTTTTCATTGACTTCTACCTCTAAGGCTACGTTAACACAGCCAGCCAGCCTTTTGACCAATCAGATCTGATCTTTTGCCAATAACTGGGCAAAAGATCAGATCTGGGCTGCCTGACTTAACGCAGTAAAAGACACTAAAATTAATCAGACTAATGAATCACTTGATCAATATTAACACTGATATGGTTCCCTCTGCCCAACAGGGATTGATCTGTCTCATCTGGCTGCTGACCAGACCTCCCTACACCAACCTCAACACAGGCCACCTCAGCTCTGTCATCATCATAGACTGTGCCATGGGGTCAGAAGTCGCCTTCTGGTGCGTTCTGGGATACATCGGCCTCTTGGGATGTCTGTGCTTCATCCTGGCATTTCTGGCCCGGAAACTGCCGGACAACTTCAACGAGGCCAAGTTCATCACCTTCAGCATGCTGATCTTCTTTGCTGTGTGGATCACCTTTATCCCTGTGTATGTGAGCACAGCAGGGAAGTACACTGTGGCCGTCCATATCTTTGCCATTCTAGCCTCTGCCTTTGGCCTCCTTGTCTGTATATTTGCCCCTAAGTGCTACATTGTGATGCTGAGACCAGAAAAAAACAGTAGGAAACACATGATGCTCAAAGGATAATAGATTTTTATGTGATGATTCCTGATCAGCATGTTTAATTTATTAGTTTATAATGCATTCATCACTGAGTTTATGTGCAATATTGACCATGTATAATATGTTAAATATGTATCTTAGGTTAGGAAGAAGTTGCATAACATTGTATGAAATTGAATAAATGTACACATGTGCTCTTTATTCTGAAATAAAACCAGACACACTTAATGAGATTTTATGATGTGTTATTTATTAGCATTTGACTTAACTGCAGACATCTTGGTAAAACAAGTATATATTGGAATAAAACAAGCAGTACATAGAAGGCTGATTATGAGTCATTAATGGTAATGTGATAAATCACCTTCCATAGAAATGTGATAAATCACCTTCCATAGATTTGCTTGGCAGTAGCAGCACTCAGCGATCCGAGAAGACATTTCTTTACACTGCTAGCTACATGAAAGCAAAGATAATAATAATAAAAAAAGATAATCAAGGCAGACATACTTTTGATTTTAATAACCATAGCTAAGTACATCACTGGCGTTTGTTAGAATTCTTCCCCATGACATATTTTATGCTGTTTTCCTCTGGTTTTATAAAAATTATGTAACATTTTGGAGCAAAAAATACAAATCAACAACGCAAAGGCAGAAGACAAAATAGCAAATATCTCCACAGCTACGGTGAACTTCCCAGGAGAGCTGACATAAACTGGGATAAAGGTGATCCAGACTGCACAGAATATGAGCATACTGAAGCTGATGAATTTGGCTTCATTGAAGTTATCAGGCAGCTTTCGAGCCAGAAAAGCCAGAACCAAGCATATCCCTAAAATTATACCTATATATCCCAACACTGCATAGAACGCAGCCTCTGAACCAGTATTACATTCTAGAACGATCTTCCTATGACTATCTCTGAAGTCCCTGTATGGGACCCCGTGTGGTCCTCTGTAGCTCAATTGGTAGAGCATGGCGCTTGTAATGCCAGGGTAGTGGGTTCAACCCCGGGACCACCCATACGTAAAAATGTATGCACACATGACTGTAAGTCGCTTTGGATAAAAGCGTCTGCTAAATGGCATATTATTATTGATAAGGTGGTTTCAGGTTTAGCCAGAGCACACGGATAAATATCTGAACCACCGTGCAGGAGCCATGGATTACAGGCAACATCCACACTGAGCTAAAGGGTAGAGCTGCTGCTTTCAAGGAGCGGGACTCTAACCCGGACGCTTCTAAGAAATCCCGCTATGCCCTCTGACGAACCATCAAACAGGCAAAGCGTCAATACAGCACTAAGATTGAATCGTACTACACCGGCTCTGACGCTCGACGGATGTGGCAGGGCTTGCAAACTATTACAGACTACAAAAGGAAGCACAGCTGCCAGCTGCCCAGTGACACGAGCCTACCAGACGAGCTAAATAACTTCTATGCTTGCTTCGATGCAAGCAACACTGAAGCATGCATGAGAGCATCAGATGTTCCGGATGACTATGTGATCACGCTCTCCGTAGCCGATGTGAGTAAGACCTTTAAACAGGTCAACATTCACAAGGCCGCAGTGCCAGACGGATTAACAGGACGTGTACTCCGAGCATGCGCTGACCAACTGGCAAGTGTCTTCACTGAAATTTTCAAGCTGTCCCTGACTGATTCTGTAATACCAACATGTTTCAAGCAGACCACCATAGTCCCTGTGCCTAAGAACACTAAGGTATCCTGCCTAAATGACTACCAACCCGTAGCACTCACGTCTGTAGCCATGATGTGCTTTGAAAGGCTGGTCATGGCTCACATCAACACCATTATCCCAGAAACCCCAGACCCATTGCAATTTGCATACCGCCCCAACAGATCCACAGATGATGCAATCTCTATTGCACTCCACACTGCCCTTTCCCACCCGGACAAAAGGAACACCTACATGAGAATGCTATTCATTGACTACAGCTCAGCGTTCAACACCATAGTGCCCTCAATGCTCATCACTAAGCTATGGACTCTGGGACTAAACACCTCCCTCTGCAACTGGATCCTGGACTTCCTGACGGGCCACCCCCAGGTGGTAAGGGTAGGTAACAAAACATCTGACACGCTGATCCTCAACACGGGGGCCCCTCAGGGGTGCGTGCTCAGTCCCCTCCTGTACTCCCTGTTCACCCATGACTACATGGCCAGGCACAATTCCAACACCATCATTATGTTTGCCGACGACACAACGGTGTTAGGCCTGATCACCGACAATGATGAGACAGCCTATAGGGAGGAGGTCAGAGACCTGGCCGTGTGGTGCCAGGATAACAACCTCTCCCTCAACATGATCAAGACAAAGGAGATGATGAGGACCGAGCACGCCCCCATTCTCATCGACAGGGCTGTATTGGAGCAGGTTGAGCTTCAAGTTCCTTGGTGTCCACATCACCAACAAACTATCATGGTCCAAACACACCAAGACAGTCGTGAAGAGGGCACGACAAAGCCTATTCCCCCTCAGGAGACTGAAAAGATTTGACATGGGTCCCCAGATCCTCAAAAAGTTATACAGCTGCACCATCGAGAGCATCCTGACTGGTTGCATCATTGACTGGTATGGCAGCTGCTCGGCCTCCGACCGCAAGGCACTACAGAGGGTAGTGCGTATGGCCCAGTACATCACTGGGGCCAAGCTTCCTGCCATCCAGGACCTCTATACCAGGCGGTGACAGAGGAAGGCCCTCAAAATGGTCAAAGACTCCAGCCACCCTAGTCATAGACTGTTCTCTCTGCTACCGCACGGCAAGCGGTGCCGGAGTGCCAAGTCTAGGTCCAAAAGGCTTCTTAACAGCTTCTACCCCCAAGCCTTAAGACTCCTGAAATGCTAATTAAATGGCTACCCGGACTATTTGCATAGTTTTTTATTTATTTCACCTTTACAACTGCGACCAGGCCAAGATAAAGCAAAGCAGTGCGATCTGATTTGTTGTAGCCCAGATATAACAATTGTATTGTCTAAAAACCTAGGCCTAATGAATAGTGGAGCTTTGTGTGCCCGGGGACTACAGAGCACATCCTGGAAGAACGCACTACAGATATGCCATTTCATAATCTGTTAATACATTTTTATTGCAAATATTTAGCCTATATCCCTAATATTTAGCTAATGAGTGGCCTAATATCTAGCTAATATTTAGCTTCTTACTTCGGCTACACATCACTAGCCTCTCTCTTCCAGCTGTTCCAGTGTGCAACAGGCTGTAGGCTACACAAGCCTCTCCGAAATAGCCTCTCCGAAACAGTCATCTTCTCGTGAAATCCCAGGAAAAGCTATAGGCTACAAACGCTACAGGACATATTTATTCATTTATTATTTTGATAATTTTTTATACTAGACCTAATAGCCTATTAGGGGAAAGAAGCAGGCTTGCTCTTGCTAATTGCTGAATTTAAAACAGACCTACAGCAGCGTGGAAGATGCATGTCTGGGAAAGTTGAGGAGAGAATGTGCATTGGTGTGATCACTTTTGGCCGGTTATATCATTGCTGCACTGATGCATTGCAAATAGTTGCACGGGACAAAACCGTGATGAGCACAGTGAAAAAGAAGACCCATAGGAATTGACAACCATTAGAAAAAATTGAAATCACTTGCAAACAACTTTAGCAACGAGGCAATGGCATGCTTGCCGTAAAAGATGTGCAGGCTATACGGCATTTGTTGTTGAATTGCTGCATTTAAATATGATTTATTATGTTGTAATGAAACAGGCATGGAGCAGGTCTCGAACCCTCAACCTTCTGGCCCGAAGTCCAGCTTGCCATCGACTGTGCCCCAAAAACATGCTCACGTGGCAGAGTCGATATCCTCGCTTATAAACCGCAATAAGTTATAAATAAACCGTTGTAACCGGGTCGTTACAATATTATTTTTCATTAGGCCTACATGTACATTTAAGTATAATTTCCAGTTGTCACTATGACAATGAACACACCCTGAAAGCACTGAATGGTCTGAACCAGTACGTCAGAGACCTCATGAATGAAAAGGTCATTCTTGTGTTACCGCTTTATTAAATAGGCAGTGTGCAGTAGGGTGCGTTGGTCAGTTGATTGACAGGTGTAGGACTGTGGAAGCTTTCCTCTAGTGTGACTGCTCACCAACGGTTTATATTTCCAGTGTAGACTATAGCTTGTCATCATAGTTATCGTTATAGTTATTGGCTTGGCGGATGGCCCTGCCTTAATTAACTCTACCTCAACACAACTAACGTTATTATCACAACAGAACTAGCCTACTAGTAGGTCTAGCTAACTTGAATGAAATAAATATCAGATTACACTTAAACATTTTTTCATTTGACATTTTAGTAATTTAGCAGACGCTCTTATCCAGAGCGACTTACAGTTAGTGAGTGCATACATTATTTTTTAAATTATTTTATACTGGCCCCCCGTGGGAATTGAACCCACAACCCTGGCGTTGCAAACGCCATGCTCTACCAACCGAGCTACATCCCTGCCGGCCATTCCCTCCCCTACCCTGGACGACGCTGGGCCAATTGTGCGCCGCCCCATGGGTCTCCCGGTCGCGGCCGGCTACGACGGCCGGCTACACTTATATTGTTTACTTGACTGTTATATTCTATGAATTGACTCTTTCAAATAATTTACTATATCAAGTTTGCCACCAGCAAGCTGCAGTAGGGAAGTAAAGCGGAAGTCGAATCCATCACTTCCGTTGTTTGGCTGTGCCCATAGCAACGTTCGAAAGTTAGGTGGATACCTACAGTATTTAAGCAATAAGGCCTGAGGGGTGTGGTTTATGGCCAACGTACCACAGCTAAGGGCTGTTCTTAAGCACGACGCGATGCGGAGTGCCTGAATACAGCCCTTAGCCGTGGTATATTGGCAATATACCACAAACCCCTGAGGTGCCTTATTGCTATTATAAATTGGTTACCAAAGTAATTAGAGCAGTACAAATAAACGTTTTGTCATACCCGTGGTATACTGTCTGATACACCACGGCTTTCAGCCAATCAGCATTCAGGGCTCTAACCACCCAGTTTATAATATGTGTTATACCATGGCATTGTTGAACACTCATTTCTGATTGGCTTGAAGGGCTTTCTAGACCGTGCATTTTTCCCCCGCACCAAGCCAGTGGTGCGTATTCCCATTCCAGCCCGGCCTGTTCCTGTCCCTCGCACCAAGCCAGTGGTGCGCATCGCCAGCCCGGTCCGGCCTGTTCCTGCCCCTCGCACCAAACCAGTGGTGCGCGTCGCCAGCCCGGTCCGGCCTGTTCCTGCCCCTCGCACCAAGTGGTGAGAGAAAGTGGTGGTTACGCCCGGAGCCGGATCCGCCTCTGAAGCGGAATGCCCACCCGGCCCCTACCCTGTTATGTTTATGGGGCGCGGTCAGAGTCCGCACCTTTGGGGGGGGTACTGTCACGCCCTGACTCTGGGGACTCTTAAATGTTGAGCCAGGGTGTGTAGTTTCTATGTTTAGTTTTCTATGTTGAGTGTCTAGATCGTGTAGATCCATGTTGGCCAGGGTGGTTCCCAATCAGAGGCAGCTGTAGCTCGTTGTCTCTGATTGGGGACCATACTTAGGCAGCCTTATGGCACCAGTCTGTGTGGGATCTTGTTCCGTATAGGTATGTTATTAGTCTACCTTGGACTTCACGTATCGTTTGTTTGTTGTTTTGTTCGTGTTCAGTACGTTAATAAATATGTACGCTTATCACGCTGCGCCTTGGTCAGTCTCATCCGTAAACGATCGTGACAGTCGAATTGAAATCATTATTGGCATTGTTGAATTCAATTTTCATAATAGCAAGCCAGGACTGATGGTTTGGTTAGCTAGCAAGTCTGTTTGTTTGGTTACCAAGGCAACTACTGTAGCTATCTCATAAACTTGCTAGCTACTTCAGTGGATGTTGAACACATTCCTAGTGTCAAATGTGTTAAATTATAGCCATGGTATAAAAGGGATGATCAACGAGGGGCTCTGCGTTCTCTGGAAAATAATGCAACTCCATAGAAGGTTAGTTCCACTCCGCTAGCGTGTCGTGGAACACACCTTCCACGTTGGTCATTATTTTCCATAGAACGCAGAGCCCCTCATTGATTATCCCTTACATTTTCCAGTCTGTTGACTGTAAGCCTACCTGTTGATATTCCAGTGTGTGGGCTGTAAGCCTACCTGTTGATATTTCAGTGTATTGACTGTAAGCCTACCTGTTGATATTTCAGTGTGTTGACTGTAAGCCTACCTGTTGATATTTCAGTGTGTTGACTGTAAGCCTACCTGTTGATATTCCAGTGTGTGGACTGTAGGCATACCTGTTTGTTTTGGCTATTGTCTCATCAGCACAGGGGATGCAATCAAAAACAGCAGACAGCTTTTCCTTTGATTTGGGCTTTTCTGGTTCCAACAGGGCAGATTTGAGTGCACACTGCTACAGGAATCTAATGAGGAAAATAAATAGCATGTTAACAATGTATATATTTTGTGCTATGAACTGAGAACTGATTTTCCATGCAAAGACAGTAAATAAATAAATAATATTTAGTAAAATGTGTGTTGCTGTAGCTACCGATTTCCCTGTCCTCCAGACTATGTTATCTTCCTGGATGCTGAGCTTGTAGGCCAGGTTAGCAGCTAAGCCAAACTGGCCCACAGTCAAATGCTGAACCTGCCCTGCCCTCAGCTGCCAGTTGATGATGTCATACGAGGCAGGGGGTTCTCCATTTTTGTCAAAGAACACGGCCTCACCAATTTGATTTTATGAAATGCACCGTCTTTAGTTTATCACTGACCTAACGATGACGAGATGGAGAAAGATGTATGTTATTGCATGAATGTAAATAGGACAAGAAAGAAGCCAATCCTTCCGGCCGCGACCGGGAGACCCATGGGGCGGCGCACAATTGGCCCAGCGTCGTCCAGGGTGGGGGAGGGTTTGGCCGGCAGGGATGTCCTTGTCCCATCGCGCTATATACGACCCCTGTGGCGGGCCGGGCGCAGTGCACGCTGATTCGGTCGCCAGGTGTACGGTGTTTCCTCCGACACATTGGTGCGGCTGGCTTCCGGGTTAAGCGGGCACTGTGTCATGAAGCAGTGCGGCTCGGTTAGGTTGTGTTTCGGAGGACCTTCGCCTCTCCCGTGTCCGTACGGGGGTTGCAGCGGTGGGACAAAGACTGTAACTACCAATTGGGGTGAAAAAGGGAGGTAAAATACCAATACACAAAAAAATAAAAATAGAAAAGAAGCCAATCCTTTTCCCCCAGCTCACCTCAGTAGGCTGTATCTGTGATAGATTCACGCACTGCCTTGTGATAGATATACACTGCCTTGTAGACATCATAAGACACTGTCAGCTGTGTGACATTGAAGAATAGATATTGTGAGTCCACAAGTGTCTCCGCTCCAGTATATGCGTGTTACTGCTCCTCTCAGAGCCTGAGGGCTCACCAGCTGAGCGAGGATGACAACCCACCACCTTCTCCCAGAAATCCCTCACAAAGGGCAGCCTTTGGATCTGTGTAGGGACTGATGCCCATGGGAAAGTGTTGTCGTTTTGGGATGGCCATCTTCCGCACCACAAATCCTATGACCCCCACCGAAGGAGCTGTATATTTCTGGGGTGGAGGGCCGGGCTGCAGTGATCCAGGCCTCGCTGGTGAACCACGGAACGTCTGTTTTGTTCTCTCGCCACCTCACTCATCAGGAATAAATGACAAGATGACTTGGACTGTTGATTGTTTGATCATGTCCACCACATCAAGTTTTTTTACGGCTTTGGTACGTTCGTAACACTGTCCCAACGAACGCAATGCAAACCCCTAGTTTTTTTTACCTGTTCAGTGAAGGCTAGGACCCCATTCCGACCATAGTCATTATTGGACTGTATCGCCCCAATCCAAGTCCAGCCGAAGTGCTTGACCAGGGCTGCTAAATCTTTAGCCTGGTGGTAATCGCTAGGGATGGTGCGAAAAAATGTGGGGTATTTAGCTCTATCACTCAGACACATACATGTAGAAAAGTAACTGACCAGATAAAATGCAGTATGAAGAATGAAGAAGAATGTAAATTAAAATATTTATATCTTCACTCTGGGCATTATTAAGCTTTGCAATTATGAGAACACATCACACACCTGACATGCAAACATTACAGGCTATCATGTACAGCAGTATTGCACATCTTTTCAATTTAGCTAGACACCCATCACAAATGAAGTGTGCAGCCCTTGGCCCCTTACCATTGGCACTCTGAGTGGTCCCAGTGTTCCAGGCATAGCCAAGGACTGAGAAGAGCCTGATTTAGCTATAAGGGCAGATATAGTAGGGGGGCATGGATGGGGCAGTAGGCTCTATCTCCTCTGGCATGTTAACCAACGTCAGAGCAGCCCGTAAAGTATTGGTGAGAGACGCAGACGAGTCAAGGATCCTGTAGCCTTGGGATACGTTGGGCAGTAGACTACTGTCTTTGTTTATTTCATCAATCTTAAACATCATCATTGGGTCCAGGGAAAGGCCCGCGAGTCAAATCTGCCAGAGCAGATTTTCAGGAGAAGAAAAGGTCAGAAAATGAGTTAATAATCAGAATGAACAGACTATGAGAGAGACACAACCGTTATCTCATGGTACAGATTGGTTTCACACTTACCCAGCACAGTTACATTTTAGTCATTTAGCAGACGCTCTTATCCAGAGCGACTTACAGTTAGTGAATGCATACATGTTTATTTATTTTTAAAAATCATACAGGCCCCCTGGGAAACAAACCCACATCCCTGCCGGCCAAACCCTCCCCTACCTTAGACAACGCTGGACCAACTGTGCGCCGCCCATGGGTCTCCCGGTCGCGGCCGGCTGCGACAGAGCATGGACTCAAACCAGGATCTCTAGTGGCACAGCTAGCACTGCGATGCAGTGCCTTAGACCACTGCGCCACTCGGGAGTCAGTTCAATTCAGCAGGCTCCTTCACAAAAGAGGTATTGCTGTTCTCTTGTTTGTTGAATACAGGGAAAATCAAATCAAATCAAATTTTATTGGTCACATGCGCCGAATACAACAGGTGCAGACATTACAGTGAAATGCTTAATTACAGCCCTTAACCAACAGTGCATTTATTTTAAACAAAAAAAGTAAGAATAAAACAACAACAAAAAAAGTGTTGAGAAAAAAAGAGCAGAAGTAAAATAAAGTGACAGTAGGGAGGCTATATATACAGGGGGGTACCGTTGCAGAGTCAATGTGCGGGGGCACCGGCTAGTTGAGGTAGTTGAGGTAATATGTACATGTGGGTAGAGTTAAAGTTACTATGCATAAATACTTAACAGAGTAGCAGCAGCGTAAAAAGGATGGGGTGGGGGGGCAGTGCAAATAGTCCGGGTAGCCATGATTAGCTGTTCAGGAGTCTTATGGCTTGGGGGTAGAAGCTGTTGAGAAGTCTTTTGGACCTAGACTTGGCACTACGGTACCGCTTGCCGTGCGGTAGCAGAGAGAACAGTCTATGACTAGGGTGGCTGGAGTCTTTGACAATTTTGAGGGCCTTCCTCTGACACCGCCTGGTATAGAGGTCCTGGATGGCAGGAAGCTTTGCCCCAGTGATGTACTGGGCCGTACGCACTACCCTCTGTAGTGCCTTGCGGTCGGAGGCCAAGCAGTTGCCATACCAGGCGGTGATGCAACCAGTCAGGATGCTCTCGATGGTGCAGCTGTAGAATTTTTTGAGGATCTGAGGACCCATGCCAAATCTTTTTAGTCTCCTGAGGGGGAATAAGCTTTGTCGTGCCCTCTTCACGACTGTCTTGGTGTGTTTGGACCATGATAGTTCGTTGGTGATGTGGACACCAAGGAACTTGAAGCTCTCAACCTGTTCCACTACAGCCCCGTCGATGAGAATGGGGGCGTGCTCAGTCCTCTTTTTTTTCCTGTAGTCCACAATCATCTCCTTTGTCTTGGTCACGTTGAGGGAGAGGTTGTTGTCCTGGCACCACACGGCCAGATCTCTGACCTCCTCCCTATAGGCTGTCTCATCGTTGTCGGTGATCAGGCCTACCACTGTTGTGTCGTCGGCAAACTTAATGATGGTGTTGGAGTCGTGCCTGGCCATGCAGTCATGGGTGAACAGAGAGTACAGGAGGGGACTGAGCACGCACCCCTGAGGGGCCCCCGTGTTGAGGATCAGTGTGGCAGATGTGTTGTTACACTACCCTTACCACCTGGGGGCCGTCAGGAAGTCCAGATCCAGTTGCAGAGGAGGTGTTAGTCCAGGATCCAGTTAGTGATGAGCTTAGAGGGCATATGGTGTGAATGTGAGTTAGTCATGCATGGATCTCACTAGGGTCTTCTGCCAGTGAAGGGCAGTGTGAGTGCGTAGAGATGATATTTGTGGACGTGGGGCGTATGCAATGAGGGGTCTAGGGTTTCTGGATAACGTTGATGTGACCATGACAGTCGTCAAGCTTATGGCTACAGATGTCAGTGAGGGTCGTGATCTTTAAGGTTACTTGAGTCCTGGGAACGGGGATATGGTGGTCTGCTGAACATGCATTACAGACTCAGTCAGGTGTTGCAAATGTCAGTGAGACTTCAGTGGTCGAAGTCGGAGTACACGTCCTGGTAAGTCTGGCCGGGGTTGTGAATGTGACCCTTAAAAGCTACTCACAAAGAGAGCGTGCACATAGTCATCTACGTGGTGCTCTCATGCATGCTTCAGGGCTGTCGAACGAGATAGAGTTTCCTGAAGCGGAGCTTACCTTTACTCAGGGGAGGTTCTGTATCATGGGGTTGGGGTATGTACGTACGGTCACTGTGGGGACGACATCATCGATGCACTTATTGATGAAGCCAGTGACTGATGTGGTGTAATCCCTCATGCTGTCTGAAGAATCCCGGAACATGTTCCAGTCTGTGCTAGCAAAACAGTCCTGTAGCTTAGCATCTGCGTCCATCTGACCACTTTTTATTAACCGAGTCACTGGTGCTTCCTGCTTTAGTTTTTGCTTATAAGCAGGAATCAGGAGGATAGAGTTATGGTCAAATTTGCCAAATGGAGGGCGAGGGAGAGCTTTGTATGCGTCTCTGTGTGTGGAGTAAAGGTGGTCTAGAGTTTTTTTCCCTCTGGTTGCACATTTAACATGCTGGTAAAAATGAGGTAGAACGGATTTAAGTTTCCCTGCATTAAAGTCCCCGGCCACTAGGAGCGCTGCATCTGGATGAGCGTTTTCCTGTTGATTAATGGCCTTGTACAACTCATTCAGTGCAATCTTAATGCCAGCATTGGTTTGTGGTGGTAAATAGACAGCTATGAAAAATATAGATGAAAACTCTCTTGGTAAATAGTGTGGTCTACAGCTTATCATAAGATACTCTACCTCAGGCGAGCAAAACCTCGAGACTTCCTTAGTATTCGATTTTGTGCACCAGCTGTTGTTTACAAATATACACAGACCGCCTCCCCTTGTCTTACCGGAGTCAGCCGTTCTGTCCTGCCGATGTAGCGTATAGCCTGCTAGCTGAATGTTATCATTGTTGTCGTTCAGCCACGACTCGGTGAAACATAAGATATTACAGTTTTTAATGTCCCGTTGGTAGGATAACCATAATCTTAAATCGTCCATTTTATTTTCAAAAGATTGAACATTGGCTAATAGGATTGATGGAAGAGGCAGTTTACTCGCTCGCCGTCGGATCCTTACAAGGCACCCCGATCTGCGTCCGCGATATCTCTGTCTCTTCCTCACGCAAATGACGGGGATTTGGGCCTTGTCGGGTGTCTGTATGATATCCTTCGCGGCCGCCTCGTTGAAGAAAAAATATTTGTCCAATACGAGGTGAGTAATCGCTGTCCTGATATCCAGAAGCTCTTTTTGGTTATAAGAGACGATGGCAGAAACATTATGTACAAAATAAATTACAAATAACGCGGAAAAACACACATAATAGTACAATTGGTTAGAGGGCTGTAAAACTGCAGCCATCTTCTCCGGTGCTGTTCTGTCTGACATCCCCTGCCTTGAACAAACTAGGCATGTCAAACCGGCCCAATAGTTCACAGGCAAACGCTGTGTGGATGCAGCGCAATGGCAATGAGCCGAGTATGACCCTCTGTAGTCCACACATGATCACTCAGCATCTTGTGAGCGGGTTCCGTTCTATGTCTGGGTCTTATATACACCTCTGTTCCTGTTGGGGATGTGTGTGTGGGTTTGAGTCTAGACAGGCAGGAGGTGTGCCCACTGGAAAAACTACTCAGTGATGCTTCTCCCTGAGGGTTCAGCACTGGCAGTCTTGGATTGGCACCACTTGGTGGGTACAAAGATATTATATCCTGTACACATAGCTTAAAAGTGACTGTAGGACAATAGAAAGGTATATTGAGAAAGCTGAAGCCTGTATAATCACTCTCTAATGCACAGAGAGGGAGACTAGAACCTTTAAAAAAAAGGAATTGTCATTAAAAACATTTGAACGGCTTTATGGAACGATAAACAAGTAACACTTCACAGTAAGGATCTTTAAACAGCTACCACAAACTTAAGCTAACTATACTGGCACTGACATTACTTTAGCCACCTTTAGCTAAAAATCCATGGGAGTGATTCCGGGGGGAATGCGGTGCCTGTTAAAAATGTAGCAGTGGCTAAATTTAGCTGAAGTTTGTTGCGGCCGTTTTAAGAAAAGTGGAGAATGGATTACAGTTTCTCCTGACCCTCAGGGTGAGGAACCACCTAACATTTCTTATCAAGGGTATGAAGCATCATGGCCACATTTGTAACATATAGCTATGACTATTTATGCATATTTAGCAGTGTGTGGTGTAGTGCCGGTGTGTCCAGTTGTGAGGTTGCATCACTTCTACTAGACAAGACAAACATATTTTCACGATTTCACTAATATCATCAAAATCAATAAATCATCACATTTTTGGGGGGGGCTCATTCAGTCGTTTTTACATGATTAAGTCGAATCCTGTTGAAAAATTGTGTGAAACCAAAAAGGGTTCTACCTGGAATCAAAAAGGGTTCTCCTTTGGGGACAGCCAAATTGTCAACCCTTTTTGTCAAGATGTTATGTTGTGTTTTCTCGTTTTTTTGACTTAATGAAAGTCCGCTAGCCTTCCCTAGCAAGGGATTTAGAAATCCAGAGAGTGAAATGTTACGTTACTAGCTAGAGAATGAAACAAATTTAACTAGATAATGGAAAAATATTACTTTGATGAATTGTATTCCTTGTTATTGTCACGAACGTTGACTGATGACTGGTGGAACCAAGGCGCAGCGTGATAAGCGTACATTTTATTTAGTACACAACACACGAACAAAACAAACGATATGTGAAGTCCTGAGGTTACAACAACACAAACCTTTACGGAACAAGATCCCACAAACTAACTGGTGCCAACAGGCTGCCTAAGTATGGTCCCCAATCAGAGACAACGAGCTACAGCTGCCTCTGATTGGGAACCACCCTGGCCAACATAGATCTAAACGATCTAGAACAAAAAACATAGAAAACTAAACATAGAAAAATCCACACCCTGTTATGTGTTTTCTTGTTTTTATGAGTTAATGAAAGTCCGCTAGCCTTCCCTAGCAAGGGATTTAGAAATCCAGAGAGTGAAATGTTACGTTACTAGCTAGAGAATGAAACAAATTTAACTAGATAATGGAAAAATATTACTTTGATGAATTGTATTCCTTGTTAGGTTGATGAGTGTACGGTATAGTCTATTGTATTTACTGTGAGATTTATTGTGAACTTGTGTTGTTAGCAGCAGCTAAACAGGCTGTTTCATCAATTAGGCCTAGCTAACATTATGTCAATCTATCAATTAATCTCAATGGCCAATACCACATACATTTGAACTAATCAGGACATAATTCCAAACCAAATACATTTTAACGAATAAAGATAAAATAGCCCGAACCCTAGAACATTCACAGGTCGACCATACAATATAACTTAACATTTAAAACAACGTTGTTAAACTTTCTTCTTGCGAGTGATAATTGATATAGCTACAAATGTGGGACATGTCTAGCGGTAGAAATATGCTTGAAAACGCTAGAAACTTGAACATTTGGAAACTGTGTTTGGCGCTATATTAGGGGATAACAATGGAGTGAAATGTCCACGCTCCAGTTGAATGAGTTTCCAGTAGCATAGTTTAATGTTGAAAACAAAATTGATGTAATTTATTGAAGAAAGGAGATGGGAGCCTAGGGAATTCTGAACACATATTTATACAATATATATATATATTGTAGCATACAATTTATGTCAAGAAGCTATCCATGTCGATAACAAAACATTTATTCATTTGGTCTTGGATTGCATATTAACCATCATAAATTTCTTTGAATTGAATACTGGCTTCAAAAATATTATAGAACACTTTGGTACAAATATGCAAAACTGGAGGCCAGAATGGCAAATATCTCCACAGCTACAGTGAACTTCCCAGGAGAGCTGACATAAGCTGGGATAAAGGTGATCCAGACTGCACAAAATATGAGCATACTGATGGTGATGAATTTGGCCTCATTGAAGTTATCAGGCAGCTTTCGAGCCAGAAAAGCCAGCACAAGGCACAAGAGAGCCAGGAGTCCTATAAACCTCAACACAGCCCAGAAACCAATAGCTGAACCCACATCACACTCTAGAATGATCTTTTCCTTATAGGTCTTCATATTATTGTAGGGGAAAGGAGGGGAGACTGTTAACCAGAGAACACAGATCAGGACCTGTATGAGAGTGAAAGCCAGAACACTGAGTCTCTGCTGTGGAGGCCCAAACCATTTCATGACATTACTGCCTGGAAGTGTAGCCCTGAAGGCCATCAACACCACTATTGTTTTCCCCAGAACACAAGAGATGCAGAGGACGAAGGTGATCCCAAACGCTGTATGGCGCAGCATACAGGACCACTCAGAGGGCCGGCCAATGAAAGTAAGAGAACACAGAAAACACAGAGTCAAGGAGAAGAGCAGCAGGAAGCTCAGCTTCAAATCAAATGTTATTTGTCACCTGCGCCGAATACAAACAGGTGTAGACCTTTACAGTGAAATGCTTACTTACAAGCCCTTAACCAACAATGCCATTTTAAGAAAAACATACCAACAAAAACAATAAAAAAATGATAAGAAATAAAAGTAACAAATGATTAAAGAGCAGCAGTAAAATAGCAATAGCGAAGCTATATACAGGGGGTGCCGGTACCGAGTCAATGTGCGTGGGCACCGGTTAGTCAAGGTCATTGAGGTAATATGTACATGTAGGTAGAGTTATTAAAGTGACTATGCATAGGGACGTACCCTATACCCTACCCTCTGTAGTGCCTTGTGGTCGGAGGCCGAGCAGTTGCCATACCAGGTGGTGATGCAACCAGTCAGGATGCTCTGTTGTAAGGGTTGGGGTGAGGTGTGACCCAGGTGCGGTGCAGGTTAGACAGTAGGCAGTAGGCAGAGATGGTGAAACAACGATCTTTACTGATGGTCCCGAAGCCAGGATACAAAAGAACGGACTTTACACGAAAAAGAAAGGCGGAGCAAATAAGACTCCAAAAAACAGACAGACAGACAAAAAAACAAAATACTAACTATGACTGAAATAATAAATAAACAGGGAGAACACTTCTCACGTACCTGTCCATACGTCCCGCGATCAGACACTGATTAGTACTGCTTGGCATAGTGAAACTAGCAGAGAAAACTGAGCAAGAGAACACAGGGAAGTGAGGGCATAAATACACAGGTGAATCAGATAGACACAGGTGACACCAATAGGAAGATGATTCGTGCAGACTGTGAGTGAGGAGGTGCCTAAGGTTGTCGGAGGATGACACCTAGTGGGTCGCTCCGGAACTGCGACCCACTCCTGTAACACTCTGTAGACAGGGGTGTCTCTGTGAGACATGGTCACCGCTGTACTGGTGTCGATCCCAAGCCAGAACAGAGCTGTTAGCAGTAGTCCTTCCACCCAGCCATAAGAGACACACTGATGGCTACTCTCCTCAATCTTGCTGTGCAGGATATGTGGGATATATTCAATAGCATCTGGTAAAGAAACACAGGATTTAGAACAATGTGAGAATTTTACATGGTCAATAAGCAAAACATTAAAAAGGCCACATTGTAGCCTGAATAGATCATTTGTTATTTTTTAATATGATTTATGGTATTCAGGTTAATATTACACTGACTTAAATTGTTGCAGAATTCACAAAATTTGATACATTGGCTTTCGGCCTGATCTTTTCTTTTAGCATGATCAACGACAAAAAAAGTTAGGTTAAATCAAATGCTTGATCACACATTTTATTCAAACTGATTATTTATAAACAATTGCAGTTCATGATTTGTTACACAAGCAGAACCATTGTAATAGAGGAAGTCAACAATAATATCATTCACAGCTATAAGTGTTTTTTTCCCCTCACCATTATTTTTTATCTCCGTGTTCTCTGTCTGTCGTCACTTTTAGGTTAAAACCACATGATACTTTTTTTGTCAGCATCCCTCCATCTTCCCAGTGGAGATATATTTTATGCACGCCGTCTTTGGTTGCTGTCAGTGGAATATTACAATAGTTACCACAATGTGGACACACAAGCTTTAAATACTTCCTATTATTAAATAACTAAGATATCTACACTACCGTTCAAAAGTTTGGGGTCACTTAGAAATGTCCTTGTTTTCGAAAGAAAAGCAATTATTTTGTCCATTAAAATAACATCAAATTGATCAGAAATACAGTATAGACATTGTTACCGTTGTAAATGGCTATTGTAGCTGGAAACGGCTGATTTTTAATGGAATATCTACATAGGCGTACAGAGGCCCATTATCAGCAACCATCAGTCCTGTGTTCCAATGGCACGTTGTGTTTGCTAATCCAAGTTTATTATTTTAAAAGGCAAATTGATCATTAGAAAACCCTTTTGCAAATATGTTAGCACAGCTGAAAACTGTTGTACTGATTAAAGTAGCAATAAAACTGGCCTTCTTGAGACTAGTTGAGTATCTGGAGCATCAGCAATTGTGGGTTCGATTACAGGCTCAAAATGGCCAGAAACAAATAACTTTCTTCTGAAACTCGTCAGTCTATTCTTGTTCTGAGAAATGAAGGCTATTCCATGCGAGAAATTGCCAAGAAACTGAAGATCCCGTACAACGCTGTGTACTACTCCCTTCACAGAACAGTGCAAACCCGCAAAACACCAGTCTCAACATCAAGAGTGAAGAGGCGACTCCGGGATGCTGACCTTCTAGGCAGAGTTGCAAAGAAAAAGCCATATCTCAGACTGCCCATATTAATCTTTTCTTTTTATTGGCCAGTTTGAGATATGGCTTTTTCTTTGCAACTCTGCCTAGAAGGTCAGCATCCCGGAGTCGCCTCTTCACTGTTGACGTTGAGACTGGTGTTTTGCGGGTACAATTTAATGAAGCTGCCAGTTGAGGACCTGTGAGGCGTCTGTTTCTCAAACTAGACACTCTAATGTATTTGTCCTCTTGCTCAGTTGTGCACCGGGGCCTCCCACTCCTCTTTCTATTCTGGTTAGAGCCAGTTTGCGCTGTTCTGTGAAGGGAGCAGTAGGGTTGTACGGGATCTTCAGTTTCTTGGCAATTTCTCACATGGAATAGCCTTCATTTCTCAGAACAAGAATAGGACTGACGAGTTTCAGAAGAAAGTTATTTGTTTCTAGCCATTTTGAGCCTGTAATCGAACCCACAATTCCTGATGCTCCAGATACTCAACTAGTCTCAAGAAGGCCAGTTGTATTGCTTCTTTAATCAGCACAACAGTTTTCAGCTGTGCTAACATACTTGTAAATGGGTTTTAGCAAGAAGCAGTGCTTCTCAGGGTGTCCAGATTAATAATAAAGGATTAGAAACTCGCATTTCTCAATGAATCATTATGTAGGAGGGTAGGACTGCACAATATGTACTGCTGAGTATCACACTCCCTGTCAGTCTCACCTGTAGCCAGTGTGAGGGGATGCTGGGTCCAGAGGAGGAGTGTCCCACCACCGCTGCAGCGCTGCAGTCATGTCGGCTCTCTCTGCTCCCCTCCATTCAAATCCTCCAGAACGGCTCGCGGGCAGTTTGTTGCTCCCACCGATGGCATAGATGTCGTAGCCCAGACTCACACCTGGTAGAATATCAGGTTTTCTGTTGATCTCCTCCACAGTGAATATCACTATCCATTCCTCTTGAATTGTGCTGGAGAATGAAACAGCATAAGATATCTTCACACGACTGCGCATACCCTCCCTAACTCAAAATCTTTGGAACAATTTGAAAGGCACCATGTTGAAGACAGTAAGATCACCCTCTGACAATACTGAACAAAAACTAAATGTACCCTACATTTGAAATGGATCCACATGTTGTGATCTGGATAGGATTTAAAATACCTTTAATACAGATGTAACCAGCTAATAAGAATTCAAGCTGAGTGCAGTCAATTTGTATGTATACATTTAGTCATCAATGCAATGAGAGAGAGAAATCTGGAGTGACTTCAGTAGAAACTAGCACATTTCTCCGGCATCTTCTGGAGTTTCCCATCAGGTTGTTTAATTGCCTTTTTAGATGTCCCATGATATGTAATTTAGAGTCCAATCATTGGATCTCAGTTTCCCACTGAGAGAATTAAAACAATTACAAACTCAGTACTGATTAAACAAACAAGAGTAACATTTCAATTCAGGTCCTCCAAATCCTACAATAGAATATATTATAATAATACGTTATATGTGTTATACAGACAAAAAATGCATCAATGATTCCTAAATGTAATGTTCCTTGAGAGAGAAATTGTTAGTGCTTGTCACGGATTCTGCTGAGGCTGCCCCTCCTCCTTGCTCGGGCAGGCTTCGGCGTTCGTCGTCACCGGAGTACTAGCTGCTGCCGATCTATGCTCTATGTTTCTATGTTCTACCTGTTGTTGTCTGATTGTCTCACACCTGTTTCCCATCGGGCAATTACTCCTTCCCTATTTAACACGGTGGCTCCCGTTGTGTTTTGTGCGTGTTTGTTATTTCGTTTCGTGTGTCGTTTGGTGAGCGGGTTTACTCCTCCCTGTGTGGAGGTATTTTGTATTTGTTTCTTTACTTGTTAGCAAAGTACGTTTTCATTGAGTTCTGTGTCCTGCGCCTGACTTCGATCCACCGCATTACACTGACACTCGTGACAGAAACACGCACCACTATGGAGTCAGCAGGTACAGCCAGTCAGTCCGGATCGATGGAGGAACGCGTCCAACGACAGGAGAGCATGATCCAGGCTCTCGGCACCGCTATGGAGAGAGTGGTAAATACTATGGAACGATGGGAGAGACGTGGCTTTCCTACACCTCCTCCAACCACTCAACCACCCACACCACTGTCCACCCCTTCGCCACCTGGATCCAGTGGGATTCGGCTCTCGCTCCCGAGGGCATACGACGGAACACCAGCCGGGTGTCAGGGTTTTCTTCTCCAGGTAGAGCTCTACCTGGCAACCATTCACCCGGCGCCCTCGGGATACGAGAGCGTGTCCGCCCTCATCTCCTGTGTGTCGGGGAATGCGCTCGAGTGGGCCAACGCCGAGTGTGGAGGTATAGACGCTACATCAGTCCGCTACGAGGATTTCACCCGTCGCTTTCGGGCGGTATTCGATCATCCACCAGAGGGGAGAGCGGCGGGCGAACGTCTGTTCCACCTAAAACAGGAGAGGAGGAGCGCGCAGGATTTTGCGCTGGAGTTCAGGACTCTGGCAGCCAGCACAGGATGGAATGAGAGGGCCCTGATCGACCACTATCGATGCAGCCTAAGGGAGAACGTTCGTCGGGAACTGGCCTGCAGGGATACCAACTTCAACCTGGACAACTGGTGGATATGTCCATCAGGCTGGATAACCTGTTGGAAACCCGCGGA